ATGTTCTGCCTGGGGCTTGCCAACCAGGGAGGCCTGCTGCATGGTTTTGTAGGCGAGGTCCTGGGTCCTCGGAGGGTGCATGGCTGTGTGTGGGACCCAGTGCCATCTCTCCAAGCTGGGACACATGGCTCTGTGGAAGCCAGTTCTGCCCTCATCGGAGGAGAGAGGTAGGAGTGGTAGGGAGCCTTGTGATGGTTCCTAACCTGTCCCTGCATTTGCCTGGCCAGCCTCTGTCCCCCACATGGTGTTAGAGCCTCTCTGGGCCCTGTGTGGCTGGTGCCATGACAAGTGTCTCTTACTGCTTGGTCCCTCCTCCCAGAACCACCCTTTCCTTTATGGCTTTGGACTCAGCCTTTCTTGGGCCTTCCGAGTCCCCTTCCCTAGGACTCATCCTCGTCGTTGTCATTGGCCCCTTTTACTTCAGAGAAGTCTTTGAATGTCTGTCTGGCCCCTGTGTAGCCGCTTTCATCTTCCCCACTCATCTCTGCCTCTGACTTCAGCTGCCCCAGATCCATGTCTCCCACCCAGACCCGAGGCCTGAGCTCGGGGACCAAGTGTTCACCTACCCATCTGTGTGGTTGGCTTCCTCCTCGTGGCCTCCAGTGCTTCCCGTTTATTTGTCCCCCTACTCAGCCACGGCCCTAGATCAGTTGACCTAGCAGAGACCTCAGGGTGGTTCTTAGTGGTCTCCCTCACCTGCACACCAGTCTGCCCCACCATCATCCTCCCAGTGCCTTTTCCATCAGCGTCCTGTCCCGGGTTCTCTCAGAAGCTGACTTTGCTCAGTCCTGACTCGTGCTCCCACACCTGGACCACAGAAGCAGCCCCTAAATATCCTCCTTCCCTCGGCCCACTTGCTTCCACCAGAAGGACCTATCTGCAGCACGCCAGCCATGTACATGTGATGTTAGAAGCTCGAGTGGGCCAGAGTGAGGGCCAGAGTCCTAGCTGGGTGCAAGGCGCCACACAGACAGCTAAAGTCCTGGGTACCATCCTCACAGCCACACCACCACCCCTTACCGCAGGAGTGAATCAAATTCAGTATTTTAAAAAATGTAAATCTTAAATGCCATATCATAATGTAGTTAAAATACAGAGCCAAATGGCCGCTGTATTGGTTTCCTGATGCTGCTGTAGTAAATTATTTCAAGCTTAAGTGTCTTACAGCAACAATTCTGGAGGTCAGAAGTTCAAAAAGGATCTTTGGGTGGGGGGAGATCACCATCTCAGCCAGATTGCCTTCTCTCTAGAGACCCTGTGGGATGATCCACTCCCCCTTCCGTCCAGATTCCACTGGCCCACTCAGGTAATCCAGGTAATGTCTGGAGAGCCACAGTCTAGCACATCTGCAAAGGGCCTGTCCTAGACTACAGGGATTAGGGCAGGAACCCCTTAGCGGCACAAGGGTAGTCAGCATGGTGTCAGCCACAGCAGCCTTCTTCAGAAGTCAGGTGAACAATGACAAATTGAAAGCAGCCAGTTAAGTGGCATTTGGATTTCAGCCTGCTCATTAACAGATTCGATGGCTGTGTCCTTCACAGTGCACAGAGCTGTCCCTGCTCCAGTGGGAAAATCCTCACTGCATCCTGCAGACCCCCCGCGATGGAGCTGAGGGCTGTCAGCTGTTTTAAGGGAACTCAGGATGTACTCTATGGGGAAGATAGGCGTCATACACATCTCTTGGCCTCTGCAGACAGAAAAAACAAAAAACTTGTTTCTGCATGGGCAGCCGGTGCAGTCTATGGAGGGCTCGTTACTGGTCCCCCGGGTTTCTGCCCCCTTCCTCTAGTAGCCTGGTACCTGAGAAGAACTGGGGAAAGATAAAGATGCTTTCAGGAAAAACTGAAGTATGTGAAATCGTTCCCCAAAAGCCTGAGGCTTCTAAATTTCTCCTTTGGAAAGATGGGGGCTCCAGATGGTTACCCGGAAGGCATTCATCACCATTCCTGGAGCAAACACAAAATGAAGATTAATAATAATAAGTTTTAAAATTATGTATAGTGGGTTACGTGTGAAAGAAGAGAGAATGCACAGCTGTGGTTCGCTAGGATGGCCTGCTGCCCACCGGCCAGAGTCTGCTCCTGCCCCTGTTGGTGAGCTTGAGCCCAGAGGCAGAAAGAGGACTGTCGGGGTCACGGAGAGTGTAAGGCCTTGGAAGCTTACATCAGAGGATGGCAGAGCCAGGGAGGGACCTTGGAAATTGAGTTTTTCAACCCCTTCACTTCAAGATGATGTTGAATTCTATGCACAAGGTTGTGCAGTTTGAGTAGCCTTTATCAGAGATGCTTGGGACTAGCAGTGTTACAGATTTGGGATTATTTTTTCAAATTTTGGAATTAGCATCTATATTAAGAGATGATTTGGAAATGGGGCCCAGGTCTAAATATGAAATCTATTTGTTTCATATATAACCAGTGTACATAACCTGAAGGTAATTTTATCCAATATTTTGAATAATTTTGTCCACGAAACAAAGTTTCTTGGTATGAAATTTTCTACTTGTAGCATCATGTCAGTGCCCAAAAAAGTTTGGGATTTCACTTTTTGGATGTTTGGAGGATGTGGGATGTACCTATGTACCTAAGGAGGACCAGGAATGAGACTGGAAATCGGGTTGGCTGAGTCCTGATCCACCAGCCCTCTGACTGCTTCCTGCCATCTCTTAATGAGGACAAACACAGCTGAGACCTGCACAGTCACACTGAAGATGGGGTATCTTTACAGGCCCCTGGGTGCAGAGTTCATGTATTGAGAACAGTTAGACATTGGCAGGGCCCTGAGGACCAGAGAGCCAGCACGCCTGGGAGGTGGACCATCCTGAAAAGGTGGGTCTACTCTGGACAGTGCAGGGAGGGCCAGTGGTCCCCAAGACAGGAAAGACCTCACAACAAGTGGACATGGAGCCCCACATTTGCTGGAGCAGAGGGAGAACTCCTTAGAGAACTATACCAGGAGGTTGGGGGGGCAAATGACTGTCCAACTGGGCTGCTTGTACTGGTGGTACAAATGGATCTAATCACTTTCCGGTTTTTTTACTAATAAAATTAATGAAATGCCACTCAATGGGATAATCCTGCCTCCCATCATCAAGACATACAAATTATGGTCCCACAGTGAACGTTTTAAAGGAAGAGCTGTATGGTGAGACCTTGTATGTGCTACTGTATGATCCACCCAGGAAGCAAGAGCCAGTGGGAAGGGAACCAAAAACAAGGGCTGCCCTGAGCTTGGGGTCCAACAGTGAGTGGTTCCTTCTCGAGTGACCTTGCTGGTAGTTGAGATAAGGAACCCAGCATGGAGCAAGACTGTGCTCAGCCCTGAGAGACCAAGCCCCACTCCTCACCCAGATCCAGCCCTCCTGTCACCACCATGGAACCCATTCCACCTCAGCCTAAGGGCCAGCTTTCCCCATGGGAAATGGGGGCAGGTAGGACAAGCCCCGTACTTCTGGGAGGAACAGGCACTCAGCAGACCTATCCCTGTGATAGGCAGGCTGGTCTAAGTGCTGGGGATGGGTGAGCACAAAGTCATCTTCACAGTGCTTCAGGGGCTTTGGAGAAGACAGACAGACACTGCTAGAACCCCGTGTAAGCTCAGTGTGTGCAAGGAGCCACTCCCAGCCTTGGCTGGACAGTGGCAGCGGGGTGGAGAGGATGTGCAGTGTGGTCAGGACTTGCACAGAATGCTGAGTGCTGAAAGGGGGCGGGATATTCAGGATATTTCCAGGTGTAAGATGCAGCTGGAGGCTGAGGAGTCTGATTCTAGTGCAGAGGACACTACCAGAGCTAAATCATGGGATTGGGGGGCCAGACACTGCAGTTAGGTGGGGCGACCTCAGGGCAGGGAGTTGAGATGGCCTGACCTCGAGTCTGGGTTAGGAGGCCTCCACCACGGCCACCCAGAATTCGAAAGGCAAAGAGATGGGCTTCTCCGCAGTCCCTCTCCCGCCAGCTTTCCTCACCTGAATTCACATTTTTTCCAGCTAGCCCTTCCCAGTGAGGTCATTTGCCTCCCTGGAAATCCTTATGCCTTTCTAAGGAAGCCATGGCTATCTATCTCAAAGAAAGGGTTTGTCATAGACTATGAAAAGACTGCCAATTCTTCCATTAAGAAAAATACTTTAAGAATAAATTCATCTGTAGTTCCGTCAGCAGACAGTATCCTGGCTCAGGGTCACGTGCAGATCCATCATCGTGTTCCATGACCGATGGGTAAAGCTGAGCGTTCATTTTTCATGAACACTTTCACCTTTCAGCCACTGACCTCCGGTACTAACAGGGAGAAATTTAGTTGCATTGCATGTCTCTGCAGCCAAGTAACACCATAGTCGATATCCTTTTTATCAGTAAAACAAATGCTAAAATCCAACAGAGCTTGCTCACCGCGGTGTCCAAGCTGACAGGACACAGAGCGGGGATGCTGCTGTCTCCCCGGGAGCCCAAGTGCGAGAAGCATTCATGGAAATCTGATGCCTTTGATGGGATTCCAGCCCCTGTGGCTTTGTGTTCAGTGCTCCCTCTGATCGCCCATCGACTTTCTCCAGCAGCTGTGGGTCTGGCCATCCCCAGCTCACACATCAGAGCCTGTTGTTTTGCTGTGGCTGCACACTGTCTTTGTCTTTATGTCACTCATGCAGTTCGTGCTCTTCCAACTCTGTGTTCTGTTGGATAATTGTGATGTTCGTTTTTACACCAGATGGACTGTAAAATCCAGTGTTCGTTCTGCAAATTCCAGTGTTCGTTCAGTGTCGTTAGCAATTCCCAGAGTCCAAGAAACAGGACTTGGAGGACATTGTAGTTTTGTTACTTAGAAACCAATTCCTCATACCCATAAAATTGTGCTTCTGTGTTCTCTAGCTGTTGTCATTTTTTTTAAAGATCATTGCAAACTTTGTCCACCACTGACACGCTGGCTGCTAGCTCTGTTAACGTTCCTAACTAAAGTATGTGTCAATAAAATGTACCCTTTTCTGATATCCTGATAAATTTCTGTTTGCACAGGGATTTTGCTTATGTAGCAAGAGATAAAGACACGAGAATTTTGAAATGTCATGTATTTCGATGTGATACACCAGCAAAAGCCATTGCCACAAGTCTCCACGAAATCTGTTCCAAGGTAAGTGGGTGAGGGCACCTCTCTTCTCATTCCTTGAGCAGACAGAGGGACGAGAAGGGCTAGACAGTTGACTTGCAGATTGAATTCAGGAAGAAGCAGATGGTCGGGCCCATGTTATGAAGAAGCCTTTCCTTCCGAAGGCCGAGGTGCTCTTGCTGCGAGCCAGGTGTCGCTCCCAGTGGCATTCTCTGCAAACTGTGGAGAACTGTGTCATTCCCACAGCCTGAGGTGCATTGTTTGACAGGTCAGTCCACCAGGACCATGTGTCACCAGGATAGTAGGGAAAGGGCCTTTTGGGAACACAGCACTCCCGAGAGTGATCTCAGGTAGAGAACAGGACAGGAGGAGAGAGAGGATGATAGGAAACCATCAGAGGTGTGTAGAAGTGCCGGTAGCTGGGCCTGCTGTGAACACACACTGACCGGATAAGTGACATAGGGCAGCTCCTGAAAGCTCATTCACCTGCTGGGAGGCAAGGCCGTGGTCTCTGTCCATGCTTCTTTAACCAGAGTCCCACAGCCTCGGAGTGAGAACAGCCAGGCCACCTCACTTCCTATCTGTTCCCCTCACCTCTAGCATCCTGCACAGTGACAGCCCTGGCCTTCCAGGACAGCCTCTGACTCTCCAGGACTCTGTTCGCCCGCCAAGCACCCCAGCTGTTACACTGTGCATTTTTTTGTTGACCTGAAACCTTTCCCCTGGGACCTCTAAACACTTCCCTGCAGTCTATAGCAGCGAGGGACTTCCTGACAGTGTCTCCCACGCTGCCCTTCAGGCACGAGCCCTACTGCGCACCATGGCTGTGGAAGGACCCCGACATCCTCCTGGCCCGTGGTGGGCTCCTCTATCCTCTAAACTCCAAGGCCAGTGTTGGGGTGCTTGGTGGTCAGCCAGATGCCCAGCACACTGTCACCAGCTTCCCTCGTCTGAGGCTTTCCATTCCCCACATTTGTTTAACTGGCAGAATCTAAGATTTTCTCCATCGCCTCTTGTTACCCAGACCCCCTTCTGTAATTTCTACTGAGCTAGCAAGACCCAGCCCAGGCCAGCGGCAGGGTTGCAGCCCAGCCTAGTAATGGAGCCACAGGTGCCAAAGTAAAATCCTCACCAATCTACTGCTCTGACCATGCAGCAGGCAGGGCCTGCAGAACAGGCGCTGTTCTAGAGATCACTGTGTTTCTCCTAGCCTGTGCTCACTTTCATGCACTGATGAGACTGGCAGCATGTCACATGCAAACTCCAGCTTTCATTTTTCTCCTTCATTCATGCAACAAATATAGTTGAATGTCGTTTATATGCGAAGTTCGGTTCCAGTCACTGGGCAGAGTGCAATGTCTGGCACAGGAAAATAATCCTTCCCTGCAAAGCCTGGGCTGTGGTGTAAAGCCCCCAGTCCCTGACCTGGCCCAGAGAATGTACCCCAAAAGCCTATCTTTCCTGTTATCAGTGCTCTTGCCCACATCCAGGCACAGATCTGGAGATTCAGGAACAGTGGAGCTCGGGTGGTGTGGCTGTTACTCCCCTGCAGTGGAAAGCTTGGCCATGGGGTGCAGGCTGGGCTCCTGCCGAGGTCAGTGAAGGGTGGGCTTCTCCCTGTCTCTCAGCCCACAGCAAATGTAACCGATGGGGACTTGAGCACTGCAGTTTTCAGTGTCTATAAGGGAAAGGTTTGAGAATAACAACAATGCCAGCTGACATTCTAAACCTTCTCTGACTGCTTGATGCACTCACTCATTTAACCCAGGGAACCTCCCTGGGACACAGTGCCATGGTCATCTCCATGTGTGGTCAAGAAAATGAGACCCAGGAGGCCAGAGGCTTGTCCAAGGTCACACAGTTAGTGAGTGGCACAGGTGGGATTTGAACCCATGTGCTTTGTCTCCAGAGCTCTGAAAAGACTTTCTAAATATCACATCTGGCAGCATGGGGGCAGATACCTCCCTCTGTGTGTCCCTGTGATTGCTGTGGCCCAGCAGGCTGGACTCCATCAAGATTGCCTGCTGGGTTTTCAGCTGAGGAGTGCTATAAGTTCCAAATAAGTAAGTTTCAGATGACAGGGGCCAGTGATTATGCCCAAAGAATGAGATTGGGTGTGTAGGGAAAAGTGGGTCAGGAATCAAGGAGTACACTAAAACTAATTAACTTGGAAGTGAAATCAGCTTAAATCTTTCACTGGCTGGACCAGCTTAAGATGTGGGAGCCTGAACCACCAGCCAAAACTGGGTTTCCACTTACTCTTTAGATTATGGCCGAGCGGAAGAATGCCAAAGCCCTGGCCTGCAGCTCCCTACAGGAGAGGACCAACGTGAATCTCGATGTCCCCTTGCAAGGTAGGTGAGGGCCTCTCCCTTCCCTGAGGTGCCCTCCATCTGGACAGGGACCAGAGGGTCTCACCTGCTTCTCTGGTATTTCGGGTCTCCTTAAAAAAACATATTGAACTCAACAAACACAAGAGCAGGGGCAGAGTCAGTTTTGTTCCAGTAGGGTCTGATGTAAAGGACAGGTTGATATTGTTGCTCTTGGAAAAGATTAAAGAATATTATTATTAGTTACTTTAAGCTCATATGTATCCTGAAGTAAGAAATGCCTAAGTCAGAAACTGTGGATTGTTATTTGAGGAATTGTTCAGTTATTTTTCCTGTGTCTGTGATTGTGCCCTGTGATTACAATTTCTTTGAGCATCACCATACCTAACAAGCACGTCATCCAAAGCTGTTCTTAGCACACACCAGAGAATAGCAGCCTTGACACAGCCAGTTGCTGCCTTCACATGCTGCCTTGAGTGGGAGTTGGACAGGATGTTCTCCTGACAGATCCCTAGTGTCAGGAGTAAGAAGGGTCCTTACATGACACCCAGAAACTGACCAGTAGGCACAGGAACTGTTCTGGACTTTGTAGATCTAGAATGATGTCCGCTTTTCACTGGGAAGCAAGAAGCACTGAGAAAGACATATTGCTTTTGTTCCCTGTAGTAGATTTTCCAACACCAAAGACTGAGCTCGTCCAGAAGTTCCACGTGCAGTATTTGGGGATGTTACCTGTAGACAGACCAGTTGGTATGTAAAACCTTTGTTGTCTTTCCACTTTGCAGTGTTTAGGGGCTCATGGGAGAAGTTCATCTTCCCACAAGGGTGAGGTCTATCATGTTCCTCCCCTGCCTTGTCTGAAATCAAACCCTCATGCTGTCACCAGCCAGAGGTGGTAAAAAAAAAAAATTCCTGATCAAATGAGCCTTTACAGGCACAGGCTAAGCAGGTTGGATGTGAGCCCAGCATACAGGGACTTTGCAAGACAGACGTGTGTTTCTCCTCTAAGCAGCCATCCAGGGATGGAAGCAGAGGACTGGTGTTCTCCGCCACCGTCCAGTGGGACTCCGTCTCCAGGGCCAGGGCTCCTGCCTCAGGTCTTATTGTCTGGAGATGGGGAGCAAGGATGCAGAGGGGCTGTGACCCAGAAGTGACCCGTAGCCTCCTGTTCACCTCCCGGTGACATAACTGGGTCACTCAGCTCTACTACACTTAAGAGAAGCTGGGTAGCATTGTCTTTCCCTGGCTAGAAAAGCCCAGGAGAAATTGGAACCCCTGTGCACTACTAAGGGCACTGGGACATGATGCAGCTGCTTGGGCACACAAGGTGGTGGTGCTTCAAACAATTGAACATAATCACCTTTCACCCAGCTGTTCTGCCTCTGCACATATTACCCAAGAGAAATGAAAACATCTGTCCACGCTGTGTCTTGTACAGATGTTCCTTGCAGCATTGTTAATAATAGTTTAAAAAAAAATCCAAATGAATATTGACGGACAAATGTTTAACTAAAACATGATGCCTCCAAATAATGGAATTTGATTTGGCGGTGGAAAGGAACAAAGTACTGAAATGTGCTGCAGCATGAATGCACCTTGAGGATGTTAAGCCGAGTGAAAAAAGTCAGTCACAAAAACCACATGCCGTGTGATTGCATACGTGGCCAGAATAGACAGATATCTAGAGACAGTGGCAAGCAAGTGGTTGCCTGGAGTAGAGTATAGCTCCTAAAAGGTACAGGCCTTCCTTTTGGGTTGATGAAAATGCTCTAAAATTGATTTTGGTGATAGTTACACTCTGCGAATATACTTAAGAACCATTGAATTGTACACTTAAAGTGAGTGAATTCTGTGTGAATTATATCAGAATAAAATTTCTACTCTTCCTAGTCCCTCCCAGCCCCCCGAAAAAGTCTATAGGAAGACCCAACAGAGGGGCCCCATTGAGAAGCACATACTGCTCTTGTAAAGGGGCCGCCAGACCTGGCCTTGTTTAAATGTCAAGAGTGATGCAGGATGATCGGATACTCCAGCAGATGCTGGCTTCTGCAGGGTCCCCTCCCAGAGCAGCCTGTTCACACTCCCAGGCTGAGGAGTCTCTGGAGATTGGAATCCTTAGCTGATCAGACAGAACACCCCAAGCCAGATCTCTAGACTTACGTCCCTTCTTCTGGTGCAAAGTCTGGATTCTTTGCTTTTGGGCAAACCTGATAACAGAGTATGAAGTATCTTCTGTAACTACAAAGGAAAAATCAGCTTGTCTACCATTGGCTGATTGGGCCCACATCTGAGAGTCGTCACCAACTTCGGGGCTTTTGCAATCCTTTTCCATCCACAGGCATGGATACCCTGAACAGTGCCATAGAAAGTCTTATGACCTCATCTAACCAGGAGGATTGGCCATCAGTGAACATGAATGTAGCCGATGCCACGGTGACAGTCATCAGTGAGAAGGTGAGGGGTCATGCGGGATATGGGCCGGTCTGGGCTGCAGGGAAGTTTTAGATGCAATGGTCTTCCATGAAACTTGGAAACAGCTGGGGCTTGCCCTAGCTTGTGATTCACGTGCCCTGTGCTCATAAAAGGATTTGCCCTCTGTCTCATTCTCTGCCCACCTTTGCTTTCGCTCAGACCTGGAATCTTCTATCCTGGTGCTCCTGATTCTGCCTTCTTTGTTTGCCCAAAGAGATTGAAATTGTGTGCTAAGGTGACTGTGTGGCACTAGAGTTAGGGTTCTGGCCAGTCTCTTTCAGGGCTCCATGTAGTTTGGGGTGGTGTTGGACACAAAGGGTGTCTCCCCTAAGTTAGAGTTAGGAGTTCTGTCAGTAGTAAAAGGGGTCATTAGTCATTGATCATCTTGGCAGAGTCCAGCATCAGCCTCAGTCCAAATCAGCTGAGGAAATAGAAGCACAGAGAGGTTAAAAATGTGCCCAGCATTACATGGATGAAAGTATAGGACCAGGCTTCGAAACTGGGGAGTCCTTGCCTTGTGTCTTAGTGCCTCCGCCAGGGCTGCTCCTCCCAGGCCCAGTGCTCACCCAGGTCCCAGTTTCAGCATCTTTCCCAGGAAATCCCCTGTGGCTCTCAGACCAGTGTACCCGCCAAACACTCCCTGTGGTCCTGAGTAAATACTGAATCAGTCAAGATACTACCATCTGAAGGTGATGTTCTGGCTGTGTTTATGGATTTAAAAATTACAGGTGGTCATTGCGAAGGATGTGTCCTTTATACTCAGAAGAAGGAATTGCAGGCATTGCTTTCTGCTGCTTCATATGGATACTGTTTGTGGAAAGGGAAAATTCTGACATATTTGTTGACTTGGCAAATTTTTGTTTCACTTGGATCTTGGTAGAAATGTGACTCATGCTGTTTTCTTGGGTAGGTGAGGCAGGTGAAGAGAGATGCAGTGAGTCCTTTCCTCCAGATGCCTGTGTGGACGCACTGGTTTTGAGCCACTGGGTACTTGTATTGGACTGTGTATTAGAAGGACGTGGCACTGTTCCTATCCACCCAGAGCTCACAGATGCAGAGGACGGTGGGCAGAAACAGGACTCAGATGACACACCATGAATGCAGTGTACACAGCTACATGAAATGTCAGCAGATGCCCATGGCAATAATGGCCTCCCTGGACATTTAGGCAAAGTTCTACCTTCCTAGACAGTCACAGGTGCTTTCTAAATTCATTCTGGCCATGTTTTAATACCAGATCTTATCTGCTGACTTCTGCGGCTTGTTTAAGACAGGAACATTTTGGTGACTGTGGCCGGCTTCCTGGGGAGAGCATAATGCTGAACACTGAACAGTGTCTCTTGCAGAATGAAGAGGAGGTCTTGGTGGAGTGCCGAGTGCGATTTCTGTCCTTCATGGGCGTCGGCAAGGACATCCACACGTTTGCCTTCATCATGGACACCGGGAGCCAGCGCTTCGAGTGCCACGTGTTCTGGTGCGAGCCCAACGCCGCCAACGTGTCCGAGGCGGTCCAGGCTGCCTGCATGGTGAGTGATGGCCTCAGCGAGACCCTCAGCTTTCCTTCCCTGCTTAGCTTTCATGCGCCATGAACTTGATTGAGCAGAATCGCTCATTTAAAAGAGAGCTGGGCGTAGATGTTCTGCCTGTAATCCCAGCACTCTGGGAGGCAGAGGCAGGATTAAAAAGTTTGAATGAAGCCTGGACAGCTTGCTGAATTAGTGAGAGCTTCTCTCAAAATAAAAAATTAAAAAATGGCCACAGATACAGCTCAGTGCAGTGGCCTGGTTCAATCCCAAGTATTGCCTAAAAAAAATAAAAACAGAAAGACAAATCAAATTTTTAAAGTTACTGAGTCAATTATGAGACACAGATTGCATCTCAAGAGGCCAGCACTCTTGAGTGAAGTGGACCCAGCAGAGCCAAGTTGTATAGAGACTCTAGTAGCCTTGGAAAGGGTTCAGATTTGAGGATTATCCTTTCCTGATCCCAAATTAATTTCAGTATGTGACCAGAAAATGCTGGTCATGCATCAGCTGTTACTGTTTGCATTAAGCTCAGCACTTTAGAAACAGAAGTGTCCCAAGTGGTTTTACTCCATGTGGTTGTAGTTTTAGATGCATTGTCTTTACATATTGTATTTACTTTATACCCACTAAGTCGGTGCTTGCAAAAGCCCTGTTGTATAGTTGTTAGCTCTGGTTTATTTATGAGAACCGAGGCTCAGAGAAGCTTGAGTGAGCTGCAGGTCACCAAGCCAGGGTGTTTTTCACCACGTAGATGATTTGGGATTGAAATACCCCCTCATTCACTCAACGCAGCCCTCTGAGCCTCAGTTACAGGGGGCACTGGGAGAGTGCCAGCTGGAGCGAAGAGCTGTGTGAACACGGGAGGACCTGGAGCCTGAGCCCGTGGACTGCAACAGTAGCAGCTGAGCTGCTGGGCCCACGTGGCAGGAGGCTGGCCGTGGGTCACGAAGGGCCTATGGCCCATGGTATCCTGCCCGAGTTCCAGGTGTTAAGCAGAGGAGGGAATTGATCATATTTACCTTTCTAAAGAATAGTATAGTACAAAAATAAAGCGCCATGTGAGGGTAGGGTGATCAACTCTGAGGCTGGTCCACGCCAGGATCACAGACTGGGGACAGATGGGGTGATGATCTGATAGGCGCCATGCAGGTTTGCCCTGGGGGGAGAGACTAGGCTTGAGGCCCCAGGTTAACTGTACTTAATTCCACCCAGCGTCTGCAGGCTGGAAAGCTTGGGTGAGCTCAGGCCTGCCTCAGTCTGATCCCTGCGTTGTGAAGTTTAGGTGTGGTGTGTGAAATGCAGAAACCCAAGTCCCATTTTAGTGTGGAAAGGATTACAGATACAAGCATGGGACTATCTGCGTTGACAAGGAACCAAGAGGAAAGAAAAAGGAGGCTATGGAAGTGGACAACTCAGAAAGTCCCACTATCAAAGGGCAACTGGTTTGCTCAAGGTCATTTGTGTTAGGACCAGAGGTGAGCTGCACTTTCTTAGCCTGAGGGAGATGAGCCAGCAGGCTCCATGACGTGGTCACACATACACTATGTGCTGATGACATTTCTGTCTGTGGCCATATGACAGTGGCATTTCTGTCTGTGGCAGTATGACATGTATGACAGTAGTCCATCGGATTATAATGAAGCTAATGAATTCCCGTCACCTACAGGGTATTTGTGTTTCATGCTAGGGGTTATTACAAAAGGGTCAAAGAGACTAGAAAAGAGGGAGAGAATTTATGAACAAAAAGTTAGAGTAAGTTAGGCTTAATATATTATTGAAGAAAAAGTGGTAATAAATTTGGTATAGCCTCAGTGTGCAGCATAACAGTGTTTGCAAAGTCTGCCGTGGGAGAGTGGGGACCTTGTCTTCGGTCACTCACAGATGCCTAGAACAACTTCCAGTCCTGCATCTCCATGCGTGACGTGTTTTTACTGTGCTCTGTGTCTCGATACACTGATGTCAGTGTCCCTGTCACCTGCAGGACTCAGAACAGTACCCTGCTCTCTGGTCTGCATCCCAGGAGCGATAGGCTGTGTCATCCAGCCTAGGCGCAGGTCTGGGCATGTACGCTGAGTCTTTTTTTTTTTGGTCTTTTTCATCGGTACCAGGGATCAAACTCATGACCACACACTTGCAAGGCAGGTGCTTATGCCGCTGAGCTAAATCCCCAGACCCCTACACTGAGTCTTATACAAGAACGAAAGCAACTGGTGATGTGTTTCCCTGTCTGTCAGCAAATGCATGGCTGTAGTTGCAGCAAGAATCTGACAGAAATTAGTGGTAAAGGAAGAACTGAGAAGAGACAGCCTCCTACCTGATTAGAGGGCTCTCACTGGACTTCAAAACCAGCCATGAGGCACCAGGAACCGAGAAGAGTGAAGCCTAGAGGAAGCGAGCTGAGGACCGTGTGTTGTGTGTGTTCGTTGTTTTTTATATACAGAACACTGCTAAGTTAGAATGAAGGAAAGCCTGGGTATCGTGGCCCAGGTCTGCAACCCCAGAAGTCTGGGAGGCTGAGGCAGGAGAATCTTGAGCCAGGGCAATTTATTGACCTTGCAAGACTGTGTCTCAAAAAAAAAATTAAAGGGCTGAGATGTAGCTCAGTGTGAAGGCTCTAGGCTCAATCCTGAGTAACTGCCATAGAACAGGAGAGAGGGACAGAGCGAATGAGAGAGAGACAGACAGACAGAGAAGGATAGGGTGGGAGATGAAAAGATAGGGATTGACTTTCATCTTAAAGATACCTTTGACATGGAGGAGGAGAGACCTTGTGTCTCTACTTACCACAGCCCTTTAAACAGGCATAGTACAGGTGCAGATACACACACACACACACACACACACACACACACACACACGCACGCACACGACTGTGGAGCCAAGATTGTGCCTGGGCGCTGAGCAGGGTGGGATGGAGGAGGCATGGAGAAACCCAGAGCAGGTGTGGGAATAAAGAACAGGGTGAGGCGCGTCCCGAGGCAGGCAGGGAATGGAATTTTCAATCAATCACAAATGGATGGTGGCTGATGAGATGTCCTGTGAAATCGCAACAGATCGCAGCAGATGGTTTTAGTTATAAAATGGCTTTCAGACTTTAATTATACATCTTAAATGCTAATGCCAATTAAATAATTAGCTTTATTACTAGTTGCAGTTCGTTCTTCATTCCCAGACTCATGTTCCCTCTTGGAAACAGCTTTTCCTCATTTGCTAGCTATTTTAATTGTATTAGAGTAATTAGTGCAGCAGCCAGAGTTGTGCAACCAACCCAGTGTAAGGCACATGGATAAATCAGAGGTCCCCCGTCCCACCCCAAGTCCGGCTTCTCTAGTGTGGTAGCTTTCTTCTTGATTCAAATCTGTGTGATTCTCCATCCAAATTGTCTACCTGTGGATTTATCCTGCCTGAAATCCAATATTAACACTGTTTGAACCTTCTTAATTTTTAGGTGTATGTCACAGCTGTGGGGTATAGACTCATCTGATAAAATTTTTGTGAAATTCGGAATAAGACAGAAAGGGATGGTATTAGTCAGCTTTTCCATTGCTGTGACACAATACTCAGCACCGACAGTGTAAAGGAGGAAATCTTTAACTCAGTCCATTCAGGGGAGTGTGTGTGTGTGTGTGTGTGTGTGTGGTTGACTGGCTCCAAGGTAAGAACCTCACGGTGGAAGGGTGTGACAGAGCAAAGCAGCACAGTGGCCAGGAAGCAGAGCAGGGGAATAAGCAGCGGAGAGGAAGGGCTGGGTGCACACACTGTACTAAGGGCTACATCCCCACACCCTGCCTGGTGTGCTCTACCAGTGCCTTGGAGCTCCCAAGCAGTCAAGTCGACGTAGCCAAGCTTGAGCCTCATGGGTCCTTCATGGAATCGGTCAGTTACTTTGATTCATGCTGTGCATATAGAGCTGCTGTTTGAATGCCAACTCCAGGGCCCCGTGTCACCACGCCTGTCTATCTAAATTCGTGCTTGAGATGTACGTGTCTTGAACTGTGATACAGATTAGCAAGACGCCTTCCACAGAGTAGATATAATAAATCACCCCATTTCGTGTGATTGAGTTGGGCAGGGCCAGTTTTCTGGGCCGTGGGGTGTGATGGGACACTGTGGCCCGTCATTCCTAGGGTCTTGCTGTTATATGCTTTTTAGGGAGTAACATCAACTTCTCCATAACTATAGGAAGGAACCTGTTAATACTAACTCAGTTTTTAAAAATCGGCTGTGGAAGTATTTCAGAGCTTTGATTAGGAAAAAAACACTGGGCAAGTTTTAACCTTTTTATCTAACTTTGAAGAATTAGTTGTTTTCCCATTAAAACGAATGTAGGCAGGCTGTTTTGTTATATTCCTGCAGATTGAAATTGTCAGTTTTTGTAAAATCAATCTATTTAAGATTTAGACCTGAATATAAAATGTGTCCTGAAACCTATGAATACACCTTCTTTTTTATTAAAGCAGGACAAAGGGATGGAATCAAACCCTGTATGTTGCTAGGCCTGTGTGAGGCATTCTGTGAGTATGCCTTATACAATCATAACACCCTCTGTAAAGACTCTCACTCTTTAGCCCCTTTACAGTTGAGAAGACTTAAGCTCAGAAGGTTTAATAACTGCCCGGCATCAACAACTTAAAAGTGATAGCCAGGCAGAGTAGCACATGCCTGTAATCCCAGCACTGAGAGGCTGAGGCAGGAGGATTGCTGTGAGTTTGAAGCCAGCCTGGGTTATGTAGTTCAGGACCAGGCCAAACACATGGTGAGACCCTGTCTCAAAAAAAAAGAGTGCCAGAGCCTGGCTGCACCCTGCGTCTCTCAGGAGCTGTGGGCACTGCCTGACATGCGTGTTGCCGATAAGCATCCTGTGAACACCCTGTCCTACGCTTTCCATTTTCCTCAGCTCTCAGACTATGAGGTGTAACCCTCGTAGCCTGTGAAGACAGAGAACAAGTCAGGGATGGGAACAGCTGCGAGGAAAAGGTGGCCAGAGGCAGCACACCTTCATTGGGCCTGATGAATTTAAAACACGTTAAAAATAAAATAAACTCTTGGATTTTAGAGCTCAGTTGTTAACTTTTTGGAGTCAGCGTATTGGTGAAGATGTAAAGCCCTATTAAGGTAAAATAACATGGCCTTGAATATCTTCTTTGCTTTATTTCAGTTACGCTATCAGAAGTGCTTGGTAGCCAGGCCACCTTCACAGAAAGTCCGACCACCTCCTCCACCAGCGGACTCGGTGACCAGAAGAGTCACAAGCAATGTAAAGCGAGGGGTCTTGTCCCTCATTGACACTTTGAAACAGAAACGTCCTGTCTCGGAAACACCCTAGCTACACACGTGCAGGCACTCTGCTGTCTGCCGAAGACTGAAGAGCTCCACTAGAGAAAAGGAACTGATCCCCAGCCTTCCATTCAGTCGCCGAAGCTTTGTCTGCAGAGAGTTTATCTGTAACCAAACAGTGTTAGACAAGCATGTTCTCTGTCTTGCCACCACCATGTGATATGAAAAGAAGCATGAATACTTTTTTTTGCTGTAAGTTACATCATGAGCAGTGGAAGGTCTCTCTTATTGTACATATTGTGGACGTGACTTGGCTTCACACGGGAAGAGAAATGTGGCCACGGCCGCCTGGTGAACTAACACTGTGTCCTTGGAGCTGATGATGCCGGAGTCTGTTTTTCCAGCTTCTCAACTGTGTCACCAAGCAACTCTCAGTCCTGCAGGACCTTGTCCATTTTCAGCCTTGGAAACACGGGGATCGCTGCAGAACAGACGCCACTGAATTGCTGGAAACACAGGACGGGTTTTAGTTTTCCATAAAAATTGAACCTGTTGGTTGACAAAATTGGCTATTGGCATCAGTGTAGCAATCAATGGGCAGCTTTCCCTGACGAGCTGTGACACGTGGACCCCATTTCATGTCTACCGCTGTTTGTGGGATGTTAGGGGGGAAAAGTGAACTTCAAAATTAATGAAAATCTAAATTTAGGGAATTAAAATCGAACAAAAACATAGCCTTTTCAGATGGTTTTCAAACTGATTATTTTAAAAAAGAGATGAATAAGATCCTAATGCATTTTGGGTGGGATATATTCCAAACTTCTGCCTTACATTGTACAATGCAGCTAGAGAATTATAGTTCACTATGGTCATTCTCTGCACAAACATTAGGTGAAATATTCCTCATAAACCTCTCATCCTTAGTTTGACAATTAGCCAATATGCAATTTAGAGTTGAGGAAATGTCATTTATATCAATCATTATTATTTTAGATTTCCACTACCACATTATTTTTGTTAGTACACATCAGAAGGTAAATGTTCTGCTAGAATTCCCAATTTAGCTCATTTGTATTCTATTTTTTTTTGTCCAGAAAGTTTTCTGTCCATTACATATTGTCCATGGCAACAAATTACATTTAGTTGAAGCTTTCTTGAACTTACGTATTTAACATTAGAATTTGTTAGATCCAACAGGATTATTTTAAAATTTATATTTTTTCCATTTTATTTTAAAGACTTAAAATTTTCATGTCAGAGTGAAGTATACACAGGAATAATGGACTATTTAACAGTTTCCCAATATAACGTTTTCCTGCTTTTTATGTGGTTGAGAAACTTAGCTATAAAGATACACAAATTTAGATTCCTGTTGACACTGTTTTAAAAGGAAGTTGCTAAGGTGATCCATCTCAATATTAGTCTTGTTTACTTTGTAATGTCAAAATTAACGTTTACAACATCCAGTTTTAAAAGTAACACTTTCCGTTTATAGACGGCTTTGTACTCGTCAAAACGGTTTCCATATCCTTATCACATTTGAGCCTTATATGGTAGAAAGGTACTAGACACATTGAAGAAGTAAAATACAGTACCAAGAGGCTAACTCAGCAGGCCTAAGATCTCACCAAAGCTCATGAGGGCGGCGGCAGGACCCATGCCTCCAGCCCAGCTCTTGTGCCCCCCCCCACCCTTTCCCAGTGACTCTGGGCATCCACAACGAGCAGACATGGAGACTGTCACTGTCAGGCGGTCTCAGAATTCTCCGCACAGGCAGGGAAGCCTGGCTAGGTTACTCAGGCAGTGGCATTAAATCCATCACAAACGAGCGCCTTCTCACAGTTTGGGGCTGCTTGCTATGCTGCGCCTCAAACGCGCTGCAGAAGGCCGGCATCCAACACGGTGCACCCTGAGTATTTTCCAGAGGTGATGGTCCTTGTGGCAGAGGTGCTCCTCACCATGGCCTTTACCTGCCAGAACATGATTGCAGGAGTAGGAGACCTGTGCCTGCCATGGAGGGGGGTAAAGCAGGGCAGGCAGTGTCTGCTGACACCCTGATGTCGTAATAGAAATAATGCTACTTTAAAATTTCATCATGCACAGCGCCTGCTTGGCAAGCGCAAGGTCCTGAGTTTGATTCCAGGTACCAAAAAAAAAAAAAAAAAGGAAAGAAACGCATTGTGCTTCTCGCCAACTTGCATATTGTTCTCTCTGAAGTAACCAGTGCCATTGTGGGCAATCGCTGCATTATGAAAATCTTACTGTGCCCTGTGAATTGCTGTTCAAAATTCAGTTGGGATGATCTTTCCTCTTGATCTCCCCGTGAGACATTTTAGTGTGACACACTTCAATAGTCTAAACAAGTAACCCACTTTTCTACAGGAAATCGCTACAGAACCTGCTTGTTCATTTTTTAAGGCATATGTTTGTTTGTTTTCAGGATCAAGAACACTGAGCTAGCTTTAAGTAGCAAACTGATTTATATATGCAATTATAGGATGCAGTAAGATGAATGATAGCCTTTACATGTCAAAAACTTTACTGCAGATACTTTGTTTTGAAAATGGCTTTGCATACTAAATGCAGATTAATTGTGTAAAATTTATTATGTTAAACAGTATGTTCAGACACTTTCTGCCATGGCCAAAAAGTCTGTGTGAAGTATGTGTGTGTCTGTCCGTGAAAAGATGCCAATGTTTTACCTGGGAACTTAGTAGTGACACTTCAGTTACCTATGCATTCTTTATATTTGTGATTCGGTAAACAGGCAGCCATGTTCACTATGCCTTGTATCTCTTATCATTTTTTAAATTAACCTGTTAACTACAGCTTAAAATATTTTTATTTTATTTATTCTATTTTTACTGAAATATACTGGATATTACGTCTCAATGTATCCAGGCCTAAGTAATCTCAGTGAACTATACGTTGCCTAATGGTGGTTTTGTAATGATTTGTAGTCACATTTCTATTGGAATATGTAGAAGAAAAGGCAAAATGCTTAAAGTTCCTTTTATTTTATAAGAGCAGCTAGCTAGACGCAGTCCTTGGCCACGTCAAGAGCAACAGCCAACATGCCTGTGGCTAAGAACTTCACTTTGTAGACTAAAGCACTGTGCCGTGCTTTTTTATAACCTTCACAGCGCGTGTGATTTCATCAAAAGGTGTATACATATATCCACCTCCCTTTGTTCTCACCTGGTTATGAGATCACCCAAAATTAACTAGGGCCATCATTTTTTGTCTGTCTTACTGCATGCAGGGACATTAGACTCATTTCCATTAAAACAAGTTCTTGGTGATAAACTCTTGGCACTGCTACTTTTTTTCAATCCATGTTCTGAGTTGAAGATGGACACCTGTAAGCATCCATGAGGCCATGTACCAGCAGCTCCCAAGCTTGTTTCTTGAAACATTTGTGTCAATTCATTGGATGAGCTTTGCAACACAAGATGCCCTGAACAACACAGAAAACACATCCCTAACTGATAGGAGCACAATTTAACAGGACCATTAGCTCTCCAATTGGCCAGGCTTAACCTAAATCACATCTAACACAGGTTTACCGCCAGTAAAATGAAGTTACTGCAGCTTCAGGGCAAAGATTCTCACACCACAAAGAAGCAGTCCCTGGCATTGGAGCAGCCTGTTCGCCCCAAAAGGACATTTTATTTTCCTTTTTTAAAACCCCTTTTGCTGTTGACCACTTTTACACATTTAAATGTAATGTGTTGTGAGAATAAACTTAGCTGCATAAAGATGTTCGGCTCATTGATCTGACAACTCAGTTGTATGTATGAGAAATAGAAATATACACGGCATCTCTACACTAGTCATTTTATTTTATCATCAAATGTTTTAGAAATCCAACATGATTGTAATGAAAGATTCAGCTCTGATTAATGATTGTGTCTCTCTACCTGGTAAGAAATGGAAAGTAAATTTTGAGTAATTACCCGGGCTTTGTTTGGTGCTGTGGAAAGACAGCAGGCGTTCTGGACACAGAAGCCTACGCAGTCACCAATGTAGCAGTCTTTCTAGAATTAAACTGTTTGCACAAGGGAGCTTATTAGGAAACTAACCAGAGAATGACGGACAGAATGTATAGGCGCTAAATCCGAAATGAAAGGTCGCTGGGAACTCGGCCGTGGGTCAGCAGAAGTGCAGACCCGAAAAGCGAGGGACAGGGACGCACCCCCCCGAGTTCTCTGCTGTCAAGGCAATGACTCAAGGAACAAAAGTTCATTTTGGTATTGCGGTTTTCACAGTTGTAGACGGTTTCAGATAAAAACCCAAATTTGTTATTGGAATATCTAATTATAGATTGATTGTTTTAGACTTTTGCAATACTTTTAAAAGTTCAAGCAACTGAAATGCCACAGGAAAAGACCCATATTATCAAGTCTTTACTGAAATTCTTGTTTTGCTGTTACCCTTAAAAAGTTACCCTTTTTATTCTATCAGTGTATTTAAATAACTGGTCTTGTCCTCCTTAAAAATTCTCAATGAGTAAAATTCAGGTTTCATTAATGAACAGTTTGGTTCAGAACCTTCATAAGCTTTTAAAGAGGAAAACAATTTAGTGCCAAGATGGACAGCTGGAGATGTGAGTCTGAGCTGTGACATAAGTCCCAGGTGCTCTGGGGATTAGAAAGCACCCTGGGCTATTTCAAAATACAGCACAGAAAATGGACTGGAAAATGCAGATCCCAGACCTGTTACTTTCAGACATGGGACACTTTTCAGCCTTGGGTAGTGGGGAGGGCAGGAAAAGGGTAAGGTTTCTCCTTACTGAACAGTGCTAAAGTGGCTGCAATGCCCTGCTGTGGATGTTAAGGTGCTCTAAATCAGATGTGGGTGGAGATACAGCATGTTTCCATGCTGCAATTTGAAGTACATCATTTCTGATACTTTTAGTAAAATAAGCTGAGCATTTAAAACATGCCTGCATTTTTTCAAGAATCATAAGTACCATAACAATTTTGGGATTTTAAATTATAAGGCTGATTCAAGTAAAACATCTTTGTTCACTTAAAGACTGTCCTGAAAAATGTAAATCTTCAGCTAAAATACAAACAGTACTGTGAAAATGAAATTAATCACTCTTCTTCCCACTTCAAGAAATAGAATATTGAGCTGCAACAGACCTAAATATTCCACAAAAACCATGTCACATAAATTGAGCATTAAGAGTTTACTAATACTTCCACACAACTGAATTCTGGAAATAAAACTTTAAACGCAAACTATGTGTCTGAACTTTTTTTTAACACTTAAGATTTATAGTCGTAAACTTCCTGTATTTAATGTAGAACAATTGCTGAGATGAAAAAATTTAGTAGATCCAGAAATAATAATCATCACAATATTTGTAGACAATTTGTAGGCAAGTAGATTCTGGAGGAATCTGGCATTTAGGATAATTAACAATGCAACATTTTAATTGTGCATCAGAAATGATTTACCGAAGTTTGATTACTTGCCATTTGAAATGACTCGCACATTCTGTTCTCACCTAATCTTTGAATAGAATCAGAAATCTTTATGAGTTTCTTCCACAACCAGGTATCACGGCCAACAGTTTTGCTCCTTTTCTCCAAATTATGAATATTTAGGTGGAAGTTTGCTCACCGCAATTTTCCCAAGTGTTTGGCATAAACAGGCAGAAGGCGGGGAGGGCAGTGTTCAGTCTACTCAGGTGTGGGAGGCTCTGCCCACAGAAACGTTCACATTCAGCAAAGTGAGCGCCACTTTCTGCTCAAGCTCAGTATCCTTACAAAAATGCACATCACTTCCTTGTTTCAAAAATAGTTTAGTACTTAAGGAGCAAAGCAACTCTGATTGTGATTTTCAAAGTTCAGCTCCAGCTGCCTGGAAACTCAGGTGCGCTCCGCAGCTGGCGGGAAGGACCCGTGTGTGGCGCCCATCCTGCTTCCTGTGAACATGCAAAGAGCCCTGCCTGCTTTCCTTGGAGCCTGCCAGCGCTGTGACCCAGGGAGGAGGCTCCCAGGAGCAGGACGGAGCCCACAGCTCTTGGAACACATCAGCGCCCGCTGCTGGATTCTGCTCTGCGCGCGCTGCATTGCTGTTTCTCAGCTTCCTGCGTTCCTGGGAGGTAAAAAGACACTGAGCGCCGAAGGGGTGAGCATCTTGTGCAGCTACGTCTAACCTTCCAAGAGCACCGCACTGTGGGGAAAATCACCGGTTCCCGGCCACGGGAGAAGGGCGGGACGCTCAGAGCCACGGCCGGGAACGCCGGGGGCGCCGCGGCAGGGCGGGCGGAGAGTTTTCCTTCAGCTTCTCCCCCCCCTCGGAGGCTGATGGGACGGACGGGGGGAGGCTGCCTGGCGTGACCGCCTTGGATCCAGTCCAGCGGCAGAAGACGTGTGGAGCTGGCATCTGAGCGCGGAACCCCGGGGAACCTGAAAATGGAAGCGTCACCGGGGGCAAGACAATCTCCACGGGTTTCAGAGCAATGACTTTGCTTTCCCGTCGAGGTCTCCCCAACTGTGCCTGCCGGTCCCACCGCCTGCAGGGGCAGGAGCTCTTCGTCGACGTTGGACGGTCGACGTTCTTGGTCGACGTGGGCATTGGAGAGCTGGCGGCAGGCTTGCTGGGTTTTCTGACCTGGGGGGAAGAAGCCAGATCTTGAGCCACAGTCTTCTGTGGAAGAAATGATTTTACCGTCAGCGGCTCTGGTTGACTGGGGTGTGCTTTATTTTCTTGGCTCAGGAACTCGGCGATCTTCAGTTGGATGCTATAATTATCACCAGCAAGAGCTTTGGGCAGTGAGGTTTTTGATTTCTTCCTTTTCTTCTCCCGTTTCGATGATTTTCCCAACTCAATCCCCTCCAGCAGACCCTTTGCTGCAGCCCGGGCCAAAACGTCTTTCACAGACACGGCCTCAGATGGGTCCCGCTGCAAGGAAAGAGGCACTGGTTAGCTTGAGAGGTGGCTCTCTCATCGTCTCCGCAAAGGGGCCAAAACACTCAGTGCTCCTGGGTGCTGCTTTTGGGGCTTTGTTTCCCAATTCCAAAGCAGGCCCTGGGCTGGGATTTTTCTTTTCCTTACCTCTCTTGTTAAAACAGAAAGAAAACACCCGTTGGTGAGCTCAGATGGTTCCACTCTGAAAAACTTATCGGTGCACAATTGGATTTCTTTCAAGGAGCACAGTGGAAGGACAGGGGGACTGAGCCTGCGACAAAAAAAAAAAAAAAAAGAGCAGACATCAAACAGCGTCTTCCTCCCGAGAGGGGAGAAAACAGTTTGTGACTGTTTCACCAATCATTTAAGTAAAAATTAAGCTCTAGTATTTCATATTAGCTCATAATTGATCATATTTTCCAAGTTCTCTATCTTTTAAACAGTTATGCTAGAATAACAAACTTAACAAACTAAAACCTTTCCCAAGTCACTAATTAAAACATTATCAAGCCAGGTAAACAGTCACAAACGTCCAACTTCAAATTTTCATACTTTTCCACATTAGCAAAATACAATGCTTTCTTCTTTTGGGTTACTTTTTACACAGCTACAATATAAAAATACAATGTAGCATTTAAATGACATTATTCTTCTAATCACTTTCCAAACACTTTTGCAGTGGAAAAGTTATAAACTATTCAAGAAAGCACATAACAAAGAAAAGGCTTCATGTCAAAAAATAGGTCGCTTAATCACTCATAAATGTTTATAATAAAATTTGGCTTTTATATTTAATTTCTAATTTAATAGTAAATTAATTTATGAATAAGTCATTCTTATATTTCCTTGTGTTTAGAATTAAAACATTTAATAACTCAAAGCAATTAAATGTTATTCCTCATGAATTAAAATAATCAGGAAATTTTTAAAAAATATTTTGTTTGTTCTGGCCGGGGATTTAGCTCAGCAGCATAAGCACATGCCTGGCAAATGCAAGGTCGTGAGGTCCATCCCTGCTACAAAAAAAGAAAGAAAAGTGACAAAAATATTTTGTCTGTTCTGAAATTTAAAGCCAACTTTGAACCTATATTTATTCATGATTTGCCTACATAATGCAAAGTACATGGGTAAAAACTCCTGAAGAGTTTACCATTTAGTTGGGGAAATCAGTCAGTTTACAATAACGTTAAGACCAAATGTGAACGCCGAGGTGTGGCAAGACCCTGTAGGATAGCAGGGATAGGCGCAGTTAATCCTGGCCACGGGAGACGGGGATGTGAAGGCTGCAGCAGGAAGAGGCAACATGCGTGTCCTGAAGAATAAATAGGTTTCAAATAAAGCAGACAGGGTCATTTTGGACAGAAAGCATGAGGAAAGGCACAAGTGCCATCAAAACACGCTCAGCTGCAGCAAATGTGTCATGTGGCCAGGCATCAGGTCAGGAGAAGTAGAGGTCCCTTAGGAAGGGGGCACAGGCCTGTCTGCCAATCTGGCCACTGCTGGAGCTAAATACATGGATGGCGACCATGGTGGTAGATTTAACTGAAGTGAAAAAGCCCTGCAGACTCTGAAGGTGAGAGAGCTAGTTGTTCCTCATCAACCTCGTAGCCAGCCAACAATTTCTGAGGCCAGTTCTTACAGGTTGAGTGTCCCTCCTCCAAAAATCTAAAATCCAATATGCCCCAAAATCCAAAAGGTTTGGATGATGCCACAAGCAGGAGAGTCCACATTTGAGATTGCAATGGTCACAGTCAAGTTACAGACACACTAAAAATATCGTATAAAGTTACTTTCAGGCTATTTGTTTAATGTGCGTATGAAATATAAATGAGTTTTGTTTATTGGCTTGAGTCTCTCCACAAAATACCTCATTAGGTATATGCAAATATTCCAAACTCCAAAAAATTCTAAAATCTGAAACACTTCTGATCCCATGTATTTTGGATATGAGATATACAGCCTGTATATTTAGTCTCTAAATAAATAGAAATTATTTTTAGGAACTTATTCACTTATACATAGATAGAGAATATGCGATGAAAATAATTATTTCACACTAATCTGGAATATATTTAGCTTCAAAATGTAAATATGCTGATATAGGCAATTCTTTTTAAGATAGCAAGAGACATTATGGTAACCATTGTTCATCGCCTTGTATTTTGTTTCTACATCATGTATTATGTCCATCCTTTTGATTTGACTGACTCTGTTTTGTTATGTCACATTTATTTGGTTTTATTCTCTTCAAAAAAAGTAATAAGAACTGTGGGAGTAATAAAACTCAAAATGTGTAATTGTCATTGTACAAAAGAGGAAAAGAAAGTGCTCTAAAGGATATAACTGCATGTATATTTAAGTGTATAAGATAGATAACCATATTACTGAGTTTTGTTGGATCATTGAACAGAACTGTTTGCAGTCTCATTGTTTGAATGTCTACTTTATATGCTTTAATTTTGTAACTTGAACAACTATTTATAAGATAACAATATGTAATCTATTAACTAGTGATTTCCTACTGTTTATTTTTTCTGAAATTCTGTATAACTTGTACCCTTTTTCTGTTTTTTTTTTCTTTTTTTTTCCTTAAATAAAATTTTTTTTAAAATGTAAATACAAAGGTTCGGATTTTTGTTTATATAAATTTACTGAGACATTACTAGAATTTAGCAGGGTTCCTGGAACATATTAGGTATTCAATAAATATTGAATAAGACTATTATCTATTTAGCTACATATATGCTGTCTTATTTAAATGATAATATGAATCCATTATTAAGATTAGTCAGGCTACCATTCAGAAATTGTCCCTACAAAATAATTTCTAAACCCTAGTTTACACCCATTTCCTTTTCTCTTTTTGTTAATTGCATGGCGTATTTTCTTTTTGTTTATTTCTTAAGAGTTTGGAGGGCAATTTTTAAAGTGAGTTGTGGATCGTGGCACCTCCGTGTCAGAGAAGTCACGGTGCCACACAGGGAAAGGTCCTAGCGTGCTCTATGTGCCCTGATCAGCCCAGCTTGAGAAGTTTTCCTCCAGAGAGAAACAGAGCTCTGAGGACGCGAGGATGGAGCACAGAGAAGATGCAGCTGGAGACTCACATGGAGATTTCTGAAGAGAGAATGGCATTAATGTCATCACAGGGGGAGTGATAATGCTGCTGGTCACACAGCAACAGATGGAAGCTGCCAATTGTCACGTGCACTTGCATCCTTCACTCAGTTCGTTTCTCAAAGGAAACTGCATACCTGTCACAGAAATGGTACTCAGGCCCTCTTTTAAAACTGCTTTAGAGTTGAAAACTACAAGAGCTCAGTGAAGCTGACCCATGAGCTTGGCTCTGCTCAAGTCCCTCAACCAGCAAATAAGTGACCGAGCTTGGAGGCCACAGCAACCTGGGACTTTCTTACCCCTTACAGAAAAGAAAAGAATAAAATAAGATTATTCTCAGAGTCTCTCTCAAACCTGATTTGTATAATGACTTTTGAGATACTTTTTAGTTGCTGATAGATGAGAACTCTGATGTGTAAGTGGATCCTTTAATGGACAAAGACTTGGAGGTGCGGAGGTGGAATGAGTGGTTTTTGCACATGAGATAGGTATGAATTTTAGGGGACCGCGAGCAGACTGAGGTGGGTGGGACAGCGTCCCTCCTAAATTCACGTGCACTCAAAACCCTAGAATGTGACCTTACTTGGAAAAGAGCCTTTGCAGGTAATTGTTTAAGATGAAATCACATCAGAATAGGATAAACCTTAAATCCAGTCCTGGAGCCCCAAGAAGAAGAGAAGACTTGTAAAATGGGGACAGATGTTGGAGTGACACAACCACAGATTTCTGGCAACCACTAGAAACCAGGAGAGTGCCTGGAACATTCTTGATCATAGGCTCCATAGGAACTAACTCTGCCAAGACCTTGATTTAGGACTTTTAGCTTCAGTGCTGTCCAAGAATTAATTGCCCTTGTGACAAGCCACTAAATTTGGGGTGATGTGGGTCAGCAGCCTAGGACGTTGCTATACATCACAAAAGAATTGTAGATGTAATTAAGTTCCAAATTACTAAACCTTAAAATACAGGTCTTATGGGAGGACCTGACCTAATCACATGTGCCCCTTGGAGAAGCAGAGACTGAAATGCAGGGTGGACATGGCATGCTCTGCTGGACTCAGGAGGGGCTTCGTGGCAGGACACAGAGGCAGCCACTCCAAGCTGACTGCAAACTTGGGTTGACTGCGCACTAGCTTGGAAATGAGGTCCTCAACCCCACACCGAGTAGACTGTTCCCCAGAACGCTCAAAGACCAGCCTGGCTGACACCCTCAGCAGAGACCCAACTCTGCCATGCCTACCATCTGCCCCAATTGTGAGCTAATCAATAGCCAGTTTTAGCCACTAAGTATGTGGTCATTTTGTAAGCAGAAACAGAAAGTGAATACACAATGGGTCACATTAAGTGAGGTAGAGCACCAGGCTGCCACAGCTGATGATGAATGATGTCCTATTAGGTACGACTGTTGACAGCCGGCTCCTGGACAGCTTCACAGAGCAGTGAGCAAAGAGCCGGGGATAGGGCACCACAGCACCATGCTGTCCTCTCTAGGCTGCTTCACAGAACTTTTTCTCGGAGATCTACCTCTGTCACAGAGTCCGTGCAAGCAATTGTCCTTCAGAATCAGATAAGTATGCTACTGATTAGCATTAGAAGAAAACATAAGCCTAAATTTATGTGACCTTAGATTAGACAGGAGTCTCAGATATGACCCCTGGAGCACAAGCAACAAAATAGGTAAGCTACACAAAATTAAACTTGTGCATCAGAGGAAACTATCAAGAAAGTTAAAAGCCCACAGGATGGGAAAAAAATTCCAAATTATGTATGAGTCCACCATTCAAAAGGGACTCTGAAAACTCAACAATAAAAAGACAACTCACTTTGTCTTAGTCAGATCTCCATGCCGAGATAAAATACCCAACACCTGCAACTTAAAGGACAGTTTCAGTCCATGGCTGACAGGCTCCAAAGCAGAAACAGCGTGACAGAGGGGCAGAGGAGAGAAATGTGCCCAACCCATGGCTGCCAGGAAGCAGAGAGAGAAGAGAGGAGCCCAGGAGAGATATTCTCTTCCAGGCCCCACCTTCTGACAGCAACCCAGCTACAGCACCCCGTGATCCAAACACATGAGCCTGTGGGGTACATTTAAGTTCTAAACCATAGCATGCTCTAAAACATGGCGATGAATCCGAATGAACATTGTGAGAGGAAGATACACAAATGGCTAGTAATAGGCACATGGAAAGATATTCAGTGTCACGGTCACCAGCGAAATATGAATCCAAATCATAACTACATCACACTCACTAGGCTGACTAGAATTTTAAAAGCAAAACAGAACAAGTGTTGGTGAGGATGTGGAGCAGCTGGAACCCTCCTTCACTGCTGACAGGAATGCCAAATGACCACAAGCACTTTGGGGAAGTGTGGCCACTCTAATGATTAAATGCAGAGTGGTCCTATGACCCAACAACTCCACGCCTAGGTAATACACCAGGAGAAATGCATACTTATGTCTGCAGGAAAGCCTGGATACAAAATTTTATAGCAAGATTATGCTTGACACCCAAAAATGAAACAATCCAGAAGTCGATCAACCGAGGAACCAACACCATGGAGTATTATCTGGCCTTCGAAAACAATGATATCCTCGTATTTCTACAACATGGATGAGCCTTGACAACAGCATGGTGTCAGGACGAACCCAGACATAAAAGACCACTCATGGTACGATTTTGTTCATATGAAATGCCCAGAATAGGCATGGCCACAGGGACAGGAAGTAGACTAGTGGTTGCGGGGCTGGGAAAGAGGAGAGTGGTGCCTAATGGTGTGGGCTTTCTGAGGGGGTGATGAAAATGTTCTGGAAATACAGGTGGTGGAGGCTGCACAGCTTTGTGAATATACAGGATCTTTAAAGTGCTGAATGGCATACTTTAAAATGGTGAATTTTATAGTATGTGATCATCTAAGTAAAAGTAGGAGCTTCCTGCACTTAATGTGTAAGTCACCCAGAACATAATGCTGCACACACACTGCTCTGGCTGGCATTCAGCTGGGACAGTGTGCTGTGGTTGGACCAACAGTAAAAAGACCAAATCTCTAGGTTTACGGCCTTCCACTGCCCAGTCCCTCTGGTTCCTCCAGACCTTCATGTCATCAACAGGAACAGACAGGGTACACCTGCCTCATAAAAGAACTCTCAGGACCCTGCTTCAGCCACTAAGGGGAAACTCTGGGATTTGGAAGTGCAGAGATAAAAGGAGGAAATCAGTAATTCTCTCTTTATGTGGCTGAGTTATTTCATGTAATGTGAATGAGTTTTTGTAACTAACAAAGTAAGTTTAAGAAACTTTTAAATCATAGTAACTGAAGCATTGTCATATTGGTATAGAAATAGTCAGAGATTAATGGAATAGAATTACAGTTACGTAGAATTGTAAGTGGTATTACAATATATCAAAAAAGATGACATTTAAAATGGCAGCTTGAGTGAGGCAGAAAAAAGTGGTGAAAAATTACAGATTGATCTAAACTGAGCTTGATGGTGTGCACCTGTACACCCAGCACTCTGGAAAATTAAGGCAGGAGGACTGTAAGTTTGAGCCTAAACAGGGCAGATTAGTAACTTAGTAAAACCAGTCTCAGAATAAAAACAAGGAACGAAAAAAGGAAGGAAGGAAGAAACAGAGATCAGAGAGGAAGGAAGGAAAAAGAAGAAAGAGAAAGAGACAAAGAAAGAAAGAAAAAGAGAGAGAAGGAAAGGAAAGTTGGGTGTATAGTTCAGTGTGACGGCCTTGGGTTCAATCCTCTGTATGAGAGAGAGAGAGACAGAGAGAGAGAGAGAGAGAGAGAGAGAGACAGAGACAGAGAGACAGAGAGACAGAGAGAGAGACAGAGGAGAGGGAAGACGGAAGAGATAGTCAGAGACAGAGGAAGGAATTAATCCATATTTTATACCTTTATCTAAATGAACACCAGATAAATATTAAAAAGATGTGATTTTAAAAGGACTAAAAGAAAACTAGTCAAAACAGTTTTAAATTGGGTATTAGTTTAAACTAAGGTGAGGAAGTTACAAAGAAAAGATTAATAAAATTATCTACACAAAAATATGAAATTTCTGTAAATTTTTAAAAGTTTTTCTAAATATTTAAAAATAAAATGATATGGAGGGTAGGGAAGGAAGATAGGGAGAAAGAAACAAACAGAGATGAGAGAGAAGAAGGGAGGAAAGAAGGAAGAAAAACAAAGAGAGAAAAAAAGAGAGGGGGAAAGGTTGCTTGGCAGTTACTAAATCACAGTTAAGGAGAAGTCCTGTGTGCTACCGCACAAGAACACGACTCCAGGAAATGGGAGCAAACATTTCAAAAAGCTAGAAGAAAGGATTTGGAAAGCTTCTGCCATAAAAAAAAAAAAATAATGCTTGGGGAGGCGGGTGTATTTAACTGTCATACAATGTATACATGTACTAAAACGTTACATGATTCTCCCCTAATCTGTACCATTTTTATGTAATAGATAAAATAATTTTTAAAATACAAAGAAAAATGATAAACAATCTAAACATATTTGTAATTCATATGAAAGCAACTCATATCCCTAACAGGGACTAGAGCACAAAAGAAGAAAAAGATTATCGACTTGATTTTTTTTTCTATTTTCTTTTTTGGTACCAGGAATTGAACTCAGGGCCTCGTGCTTGCCAGGCAGGTGCTGTGCTGCTGAGCTACATCCCTGGCCCATTATCCACCTGAAAAAGTGGCAAACACATGAACATACCATTAATAACAATGATGACAATAAAAAAGATTGAACTTTGCAATGTGCCAAATATTGTTATGTATTAATGTATTCAACTCCCGGAGACACCCAACAAGAAGGCAAGATCAGGGACTGTATTTTACATCCACATTTCCCCTGTCTCCATTCGTAATAATTTAAGTGTCTGTCAGTCAGCTTCTTTCAGCACCTGTGTCCTGAGATGGGAAAATCTCCAGGTGCTAAACGGGAACAGCTCAGGGCCTCTTCTCTCATGGCCAGGCAGTTCTGCTGAGAAGTTTTCTTTTTCTTTCTTTCTTTTTAATCGGTACCAGGGATCGAACTCACAGCTACACACTTGCAAGACAGGTGCTTATGCCGCTGAGCTAAATCCCCAGCCATGAGATGTCTTTAAGAAAGCTGTTCTTGAACTGCTTCCCTCCCTTCCTCTCTGTAGCCACCCTTCCGTGCCTTCCCATTGGTACTGGTAAATTACCCACCAAAATATTACTTTTATTTATCTGTTGCCCTGCAGCTTCACCAGTGCTGGGTTGTATTAAACTTGTAAATCTTTACCAATCTGAGGACCAAAAAGATGCAATTTCACTGTTGATTAAAAGTTTAGTTCTCTATCAGTGAGGCTGAGCATGTTTCCTGCTTACTGACGAGGCAAGAAGAGTCCAGAATGGAGTGACCCCTCCAAAAACAGTGTTGCGTCCCTCTTTTCCCGCCGTTATTTTTATGTATCTTAAAATTTATCAATCAATTACAAAATTATATTAAGCCAGATTTTTTTTTTTTTTTTTTATCGTTACCGGGGAAGGAACTCACAACCGCCTGCTTGCAAGGCAGGTGCCGCTGAAAGGCCAAATGCCTTTAGCTTTAACAATAATAACAAAAATCAAAGCCGCTGAGCTAAATCCCCAGCCCAGCCAGACTTTTTCTTAACAAGATAAATGTGGTTTAGGGAAAAAGCTACTAAGAAATTCAGCATTTTCCTATAAATCAAACAAGACAAATCTACAGATCCAAAGAATGAATGGACTTCTTTACACTTAATAGCAATATGTTTAGAACATATGTAAGGGAATATTCTAGAAATAATGTATTTTACAACTATTTAGACATGAAGAAAATGGTTAGAAGTCAACTTTAGGAGACAAAACAAGATACACAGTTACCAAAAAAAATATTCAGGCAAAGAAAGTCAGCAAGAAGGAGAGGCTGTGATTCGACAGCAAACAAAGTAACAAGTGAAATGGCGGAGCAGACCACAGGCGCATTAAGACTCTGCAGAAGAGTTCACAGCATGAGAAGCTGGAGAGATGTTTAAAATACCTTATGCATCGTCAGTCTTGAGGAACTAGCTGGCATCACTTATTCTTAGCGCTGTCCCTTACCTCGATGACACCTATTCAGCCTCAATGCTTTCTATCCATATTTCATGGCAACATTTTACCCTGAAGCTACTATAAACCCCAGGCTGTTTCTACCTCTGTCCTGGTGGGTGCCAAAGGCTAAAAGAGCTTAAGAAATGTTTGTCTTCAAACAGTGCACATCGGGCTCTCTACTTCCTAACAACAGTTTACGGGCTTTATTGCTCTCAGACTGAGGCATACAGACATCTAAATGAAACTTGGACCCAGTTTATCTAGAAGCCATTCAAGTCAAAGAGAAAATGTCTTTAGCTTTAACAATAATAACAAAAATCGAAGAATCTTTATATGTGTAACAAAATGTTCACGCAGGTGGGAGTGCATGTTCCAGCGCTTCGGAGGCCGAGACAGGAAGATCCCCTCAAGTTCAAGGGCAGACTGAGCTACACAGTGTGTTCAAGGTCAGTGTGAGAGAGAGGGAGAGAGAGAGAGAGATCATTCCAGGCTACAGGAGTTCACACAAAGCCATAACAAAATCTAAACTTGCAAAAAGAAGTTAGGCTACTTGATCCAATTAAAGCTTAATAAAAAGAAAGTATACGACTTAAAAAATCATGGTTTTCATTTTCAAGGATGTTTGAGTTGTTTAGAACCCTTTGCTTACCTGTAAGGTTGTACTTTAACCCCATGATCTTGAAATTCCAATGCCTTCTTAACAACAGCTTCATTTTCCTCTGGATAAGTTGAGCATGTGCAGTAAACAATTGCTTGCGCTTTAGCAACTATAATTAAGGAAGATGGAATCAATGTAATGGCCCCATTAACAAGCCAACGTATGTTCACTATGCTTCCAGATGTGTATTTCCTACGAATACCACAAGATTCTTTTATTTGTTGGATTTTTTGAGACAGAGCTATGTAGTTCAGGCTGGCCTTGAACTCACTACATAGCCCAGGCTGGCCTTGAACTCACTGCAATCCTCCTTTCTCAGCCTTCTGAGCGCTGGGATTATAGTGTGCACTACCATACACAGTATCACTGGGTTTTGATGGGAATGATTTCCACTATGGCTCTCCTTTAAAGCATAAAGTGCATTAATGTAATAGTTTTTAACCAATAATTAAATTCAACTGGATTGTACAAAGATTGAAAATTCAATGTATATGACCAACTGATTACAAACACAAAGAGACACCATAGGCTGCCATGAACGTGATGCTTTCAGCTATTCCTCCATGTTTTGTCATCTAATTGGTTTAAAGACTTCGTTCCTCAATGCTGGGTGAACCTTGGAAGGTTACTCACAGTCCTAAATCTTTGTTCTGCAAAATGACGCAACATCCTGACCTGCAACTCATGTATTTGCTCACTGTCCTAAGCACCTGCCAGGTGCTGTCCTAGGATGTGGGACACGTGGGTGGGCAGCAAAGACAAAACTCCCTGCCGTGTGGAGCTCATTTGCTAGTGAGAGACATTAGAACGTAAATACACAGGAAAAGTAGGTGATGGTGCAGGACGGGGGTGATGACACAGGTGCATTTAGAAAGAGATGCAAAGAAAATGAGGACAGAGGCGTGGGAGATGAACCCAGAAAACACGGTGTGAGCTCCCCATAGTAAAGCGGCCTAGAGGTGGTGTAATGAATGGCCGTGGATTTTTCTGGACGTAAGATGGGAGCCACTGGTTCCACCGCCACCCTGAATGCTCTGTTGACAATGGACAGTAAGCAGGGAGAGAGGGAGGGATGTGGAAGCTGACAGACAAATTAGGAGGCCCCTGGGGCGGTCTGGGCTGAGGTAGTGGTGAGGACAGGGCAGTGACAGCAGAGGTGGCAATGCTCCTGACGACCTGTTGTGGGTGTGAAACAGGAGTCACACATGATGCTAGGACTTTGGCTTGAGCAAATAGAAGACATTAACTAAAATGGAAGGGTCCGGGAAGGACAGCTGGGAGATCAGGATTTCCATTCTGGACCTGTGAGTTTTGAGATGCCTGCCTGTCACTAATGGACAACGTCAGGAAGGCACTGAAGACACAGATCTAGAATTTGCAAAATTAGGGAGTCACACAGTGGACTGGGTGAGATCACCAGGTGGGTTAAGTGTAGATAGAAGGAAGGGCCAAGGTGGGAGCCGTGGCAAGCTGCAATGCGAAAGTGGGGCGAGGTCAGGAAGAGCTGGCAACCCAGGAAAAGGAAAGAAAGTGAGCAGGTGTCCCGAGAGACAGAGCAAGGGGAGAAGGAAGGGAATGTGGTCTCCCAGGCCAGAGAGGGACCAGTCCCACGAGGTCTGCCAGTGGAGTTAACACGGCTCTGCGGACTGGTAGGAAGGAAATGTGCAGGTTAGTGGGGTTTAAAAAAAAAAAAGAGGAAAAATTTAGAGAAATACTGTTTTCAGAGGAAAGTCAAGTTATAGGGGAAAAGAGATGAAAACATTCAAAGAGAGTTAAAATACAGATTTTTCTTGATGAGGGGCTGTGAATTTTGGAGCACGTAGGGTGGACGATGAGAAAAGACAGGGGCTCTGAAAACAGCCACAGGGGCCTGGGAGCAGGAGATGACCAGCCTTCCTTAGCTGCCTGCCTTTCTGGGGTCAACGATCTAAACAGAGGCATTTCCAGTGATTTTAGAGAGGCATTTCTGGTGATTATAAAGAGGTGTTTCCCATGTTTTCCTCTTTAGAGAGTAGGGACATGGCTGTGAGGTTTAGAGGGCAATGGAGGTTAGGAGGCCTGAGCCCTCTTGTTACGGTGGCCACAGAAGGGGGTGCTGAGGGGTTAGGGATTCGGGGTGGGGAAGCTAAGAGGGATGATTTCATAAGCATTAAATCAGATAATATATAAAAACACGGCAATAGCAAGGTGCCCAACAAATAATAAGTGATCAACACATATTAAAATATTTTAAAAGTTATTTTCACAATGCATTAGAAGACTGAGCATAAGCATACTTTAAATGGTTAACTTCAAATGGAGCTTTCAGTCATTTCCATCAAAATTTGGAGATAAATCCCTAATTATGCACTTTTCCTAAATGGCCTTATATTTACAGCTTGATTTATAGTATGTCTTCAGGTAAATTACCCTACTCTAGAGGGCTGCCAAAATAGGTTTACTGGCATCACGAAAGAGCTTACATCAGTAAATCTTTTTGCTTTTCATAAGGCCTTTTAAAGCATTAAATATTCAATTAAAATTTAATTGAAATGCACTAGTAAAAAATGTTACTTAATTTAAATATTGCATGGTTTTTCTCATGAGAAATTCAAAGTATAAATCATTTAAAGAGCAAAATAAAAGATAGATGATAGGAATCAGGGAGGGAGACCTTCTGCAGATGGGAAGGGGATCTAGGGAAACAGGGGTGAGGAAGAAGTAAAAAGAAATAAGATGGGGTATGTGTATGTACCAGCTTCTCAGGATGAATGTATTCATTATGTAGTGCAAACATGCACTAATAAAAAATGATCTTCCAGCCAATTTATTATAATAGCTCATATGCAGACTGTCACATTCAAATTACTGTGCATCAGCGACATCACCCAGAAGGGCAGACTTCCTTCGTGCTATTTTGCCATATTCCTACCTCATGTATATCTTTATGTATTGTCTCTGTCCACAGACTCATCCTGAAGCCCTTGTCAGGGTTTATTCATATTCATCAGCCTAATACCCCACTCAAGACCCAACCCAGAGTAGGCACTTGATAAATATACTTGGAACTAAATGGAAGTTGATTAATGCAGTGGTACTCAAAAACCTAAATGGAGTGACCGAAGCAGGGATACAAGTCATTCTTAAAGAGCCTGGCTGTCTAGACTTCAAGTCAAGACAGCGAGGCTTTATCAGTAATTACACCTTTCTGTTCTCAATTCAGCACTGAGAGGGAAGAGCTGGATTAAAGCTTGGACTTCAGAAGAGCTCTCGGGGGTAGGCAAAATGACAAAAGAAGAATTATATCAAGCAAGAAGGCAGAAGAAACAGGAAAGATGAAGATGTACAACTACGGATGTGTATGACCATTTCACCTCACTATAAAGAAACTCAAATCATGCTCGCTAACCTGTGTTTAAAATGATTATGCATATATTTTAAAGACTTAGATTAAGTTAATACAGTAAATACTTTGTTATGGGAAGGTTCTAACGCTGGATGTTCTGGAAAATGTAATTATGGTTCACACTTCACTGGTTTAATATACTAAATAAAATATTCATGTTTCTAAGGTTAATGCCACTTTTTAACAAGATTCTATCAATGTCAGACTCACATTTCATTGCGTGTGTTAGCAGCTCGTATTGTTGTTGAGTAAGAACCTGAAGTTTATCTTCTGATGTGCCTCCTTGAGAAAGGTCTTTAAGTAAATCTGTGTCTAAATTTTAAAGAGTAAATACATACCTTTAAATATATTCCTATGAAATACTTTTTACTATTATCACATTATTTTTCAATTATTTTGCCTACTAGGAATTTTCATGGAAGAATACCTATCAAAACAAAATAGATAAACATTCAGATGTTCACTTAAAAATAATTATGATTCATTATCGTACTGTTTTTCAAAAAGAGCACAGGAAATATTTAATACTTTTTTTCTTCAAGTCTATGAAATAGTCATCCAAGTAGCCATGCTAGTCACTTAGACATGGAAAAATAAATGCAATCAATCTGGAGACAAATACAGAAAAGAGAGAATAAAATTTATTTTCCAAAAACTGATGGGATACACTCAACTGATTATAATAATTTAGAAATTAAAAGAAGTACCTTCATGCTCATTTAAAATAAATTCTACTGGATTGCTAATGCCTGCTCCTGAACAACGAGGCAGCAGCAGGATCACTTTAACTTTCTGTAACCTCGGGTCCTTTGATTCAATGTTAACAAATGTCTCACCCAGTATTTCAATATCTGGGAGGGAAAAAAAGTATAAAATATTAATTTAAAATCTGAATTTAGTATGTGACTGTATCTATGTATGATTCATTTTAAAATCCTCAATTCCACAAAAACTCTTTGTAATGTATGTAGTTAGAAACAAGGACTTACTATTCTCTAACAACATCCCAAAGTCAGTACAGGAATTTTCTTAATAAAGTACCTTCTCTATGTGAAAGTTTTTAAAATTTAAAATTAAAATTTTCGGCTGGTCCGCTGGCAGTGGGTTATCAGAACTCATTAACATTTGTGTCACTAAAGTTGGTATACCACCCCCCACACACTGCTAAATGTGACTGGCTTTAAAAAAAGAAAAAAAAATTAAAGTTTTCATCTTGAACTTCAGCTTCAAGTTAAAGTAGTATGAGACGGTGGGGAACCAGGCTTTGGACGCACACAAACTTGAGTTTTGACTCCTGGCTCCACTATTAACTACCCATGTGTGCCTCCACTTGCTTATGCATAAAATGGGACGATTTCCTTATACAACTGTGACCAACATTGAGGCAAAGTAGTCAAGCATAGCATGCTTGTATACAGTAAAATGCTCGGTATCATTTCTCTCTCCCATTTGTACCCTTTTTATATGCTATCAGTCTTCAAAAAATAAATGGGTATCAAGAACACTTAGAATGCATAGTCCAAGGTGCTGACCCCGTAGCAGAGACGGGTGGACATTATTCCCTTCCCTCTAAGGGCCTTGTGACTTAGTTTCACAGCATCTGCCTCCTTCAGCCTTCGACTGCCTGCGCCCCTACCTTAGGGCCGACCCTCTGGGGAGAGGGCAAGGTTACCAAAGACACATGCCCTGGTGACACTGCCAGCACCCTGCACAGTCATGCAGAGATACAGACACTCTGGAGGGAGAGAGGTTTAGAAAGCCTCTCCAGTGCTGTCCCGGGAGGAGTGACACTGGCCCTGGGGAGTGGGAATTGCGGAGCACTGGCAGAGTGTCGCAAAGCCGGTGAAAGGCGAGTTTGGAGCAGAGAGGTGATGGAAAGAGCTAACTGGCCCAGTGTCTGAACCTGCTCCTTGACTCTCCTTCTCCTGTGGATTTTTCTCATTCATCTTACGGCCCTCCTCGTATTGCCATGTACAGGTACTGGGCTTTGGATTTCTTTCCAGGGATTATGCATTAAATCTACATGATAACAAGTTCCACATTTATATCCACACCCGAATGCCTGACCGCCACGGCCACTTGGTGCTGAACAGGCATCTTATACCTAACCTGACCGAAACCTCACTCCTCCTGTAGTCTTCCCATCTCAGGAAAGGGCAACCTCACCTTTCCAGCTGAACAAACCAACAGCCTTCACTGATCCCAACACGTGCGCCCTCCCATGGCCCGTGCACAATGTAATAAACTCCCTCCCCTCCAGAAATACACGAATCCCCACATCACCACCTGGTGGAAATCAAAACCACACCTGACCTGTGCACAGCCGCCCCCCAGCTCATCTCTCTGCAGCCCCCAGAGTAACCAAATGTTCTAATACTTGTCACTGCTCTGCTTGAAGCCCTGTGAGGAAGTCGTGTATCGTCCAAGGTCCAAGCCCTTCCTCTGGCACAGAATGTCTGATTTTTGTGGCTGTCTTGATGTCTTGGATCAATTCAAAACATACTTTTCATGGTCATTTGAACTTTGGGGAAGAGCCAGAGTCACATGGTACACACACCATAACACACCATATAATGCTTTTATTTGACAGAAACTGCAGTTCCACAGGCAATGTGTGACTAGAGCATTGTCATGATAAAGGATGAAGCCACTTGCCTATTTCTTAGGCCATTTTCTTCATGCATTTCTTAAATGTTCCAATAAACCCTCATAACAGACTTCATGGTACTTGGGTACAAATCCAACTTGTGCGATCCCATCAAGGTCAAAAAACACAGTTGACATCACCCTGAGGCTCGATTTTGATTGATCAGCTTTTTTCGCACAAGGAGAACTGGGTAATTTCCACGGAGAACTCTGAACCTTGGTTTCAAGATCATAACTACAGATCTCAGTTTCATCACTTGACGTTTCTTAGGCTGGAAGCTGAAGTGGCCCAATCACACAATTCTAATGAAATTGGTGAACTGTGTTGCTTTTATCAGTCAAAACACGAGCAGCAAATTCTGCATTCACCTCGTGTTCAAATCCGCTGTTAGCGTGCTTTCTGAACAGAACCACAGTTGAAACTGTTAGTAAAGTTCTACATGATGCTTCTTGTATTCAAGATCCCTGCCTTTCCAGTGGATGGCGCTCTGCAGCCATATTCACCATACTTATTGATCATATGGCAGGTACTAGTTTAGGGCGAGGGAAAAGGGTACTAAACCTGGAGAGGAAATGTGGGATGATACTGTAGGTATAATTCACCTTCAGTGAATAATACTGAATAATAATACAAATTCCAGTGCCACCTGCTGTGTCTGACGATTCCAGATGCTCTGATTTAGTAAGTTGTGATTTTAATTGCATTTTCCTGATTATTAATAGGATTTGGCATTTTGATACAAGTTGTTTTATTTGGCATTGAGTATCTTTTTGTGAAACACTTGGTCATGTCTCTTGCACTTTTTTTTTTTTTTTTTTTTTTTTTTGGTGCCAGGGATCAGAACTCATGACCTCGTGCTTGCTAGGCAGGCACTCACGCCACTGAGCTAAATCCTGGGCTTCTTGCACATTTTCGTACTGATGTACTTCTTTTTTACCCATGAAAGCTCTTCATCAGTTTGTGTACTTTCTATGGTTTTGTCTTTGTACTCTTAATCCAAAGAAGTTTGCTTTTAAAAAAAATTTTGTAGCCCAATTTATCAACCATCTCTTTTACAGTTAGGACTTTATGTGTATTGTTTAAGAAATCTTAATCTACCTCCAGGTCATGATGTATTTCTCTATAATAAGTTTTAGAAAACTTTAGATTAGTGTATTGTTATGAAATGGCCATTTCACTTTTTTTCAGCACAATTTACTGAAAAGTTCATCTCTTCCTCAATACTCTGCACTGTCACTTCAGTCATAAATAAAGTAACCCTGGGACTGGGGATTTAGCTCAGCGGCATAAGCATCTGCCTTGCAAGCAGGCAGTCGTGAGTTCGATCCCCGGTACCGATAAAAAGGAAAAAGACAAAAAAATAAATAAATAAAAATAAAGTAACCCTACATCTGGGTCTTTTCTGGATGCTGATCTGTTCCTCTGGTCTATTTACCACCCTTCACATACTGTCTTAAATACTGTGGTGTTTTACACACCTGTGATCCCAGCACTCAGGAAATTAAGGCAAGAGGACTGCCATGTGTTCAAGGCCACCCTGGGCTACACAGCAAGACTATCTCAAAAAATTTAATTGAAAAAGAAAAAGCCTTTCAGTGAAGTAAGCCTTCCAACTTTGTTCTTTATCTGCAGTGTTTTCAGAGGGTATGCTTGGCCCTCTGCACTAACGTAAAAAATTGATTTCCACCAAGAAACTACTAGAATTTTTATTGGGATTGTACAGAACCTCTAAGAGTAACTTGGAGAGAAACATCAGCTTGTGACAGGTTGCCTTTCAATTCATGAACAAATCCATTCTCCCATCTGCTCAGGGATCCTCCCATTCAGTAATGTTCTATTTTTAGAAGGTGTTACATTCTTTTGTTGGAAGCACTGTCGAATAGTTTACATTTTGGGATAATATTTTAAAAGGAATCTGTTTTTAAAACTTCACCTCAGGTTTTTGTTGGTATATAGAAAAAACTGACTTTTGTATGTTGACCTTGTAACCTTGCAAAATTCACATTAATTCTAATTGTATATTATTTTGGATTTGCCATATGCATATCAGGTCACCTATTCAGATGGTTTTATTTTTCTCTTTTCTTACTACCTCGCTTATGACCTGCAGTACAATGTTAAGGGTAAACAGCGATGACAAGAGTGCTTGTTCAATTCTTCATATCAGAAAGAAAACTTCTGAGCATTTCATCAAATGTGTTTGCTACAGCTATGTCATGAACAAGTGTTAAACTTTATCAAAAGCTTTGCGCAGTGGCAGTATCATAGCCAATGAGGTTTATCTGAGGCGTAATTATTGCTAATTAAACTTTATCAAATTCCTTTATGGCACTTCCTGAGATGATCATATTAATTTTTCTATTAATGTGATTGTACAAATTCATTTTTAAGAATTAGATCAATTTTGTATTCTTAGAATAAACTCAGCTTGTTTACAATGTACTGTCTAACATACTGCTAAATTCAGCTAAAAAGTATTTTTAATTACACAGGTATTTATATTTTATTTACTGGTTTTTAAATAACTGTCATGTATGCTATAAGCCTAAATTAATTTTTTCTCTCTTTTTGTTATTTTTTGTTTTGTTTTGTAGGTTTTTGTTTTGAAAATTTTGTTTTGTTTTGTTTTTTGGTACCAGGGATTGAACTCAGTACCTCCTGCTGGCCAGGCAGGCGCTTATGCCGCTGAGCGAAAGCCCTGGCCCTGTTTTCTGTTTTTGGAGGCTGTATGGTCCAGGCTGGCCTTGAACTCATATGTAACCCAGACTGGCTTCAGACTCATTGTCCTCCTCCTGCCTTGGCCTCTCAAGTGTTGGGATTGTAGGTATGTGCCATCATTCCTGGCTCAAAATTTTTGTCTTTGTAATAGGCTTTTCAGATTTTGATATCCATTTATAAAATGAACTGGGAAGTATTGTCATATGAAGTCTTCTGACCCATAAACACAGAATGGCCGGGTATGGTGGCACACGCTTATCACACAGCAGCTGAGTCGGAAGCCTGAGGCAGGAGGATTGCCAGGAGTTCCAGGCCAACCTGGGCTACATAATGAGTTCAAGGCCAGCCTGAGCTACATAGTGAGACCTCGTCTCAAAAACAACAACAAAAAACCCAGAATGTTCTTTGTTTATATCATCTCTAATTTTTAAAAATAATGTTTTGTAGTTTTCTACATATGTCTTATACTTCTTTCATTAAATTTATTTCTAAAATTTTGTTCTTTTTGATGTTATAGTTTTTAACTTTTATTTTTAGATTATTCATTGCTAATGTATAAAAATACAAAAGATCTTTATATATTCATTTTGTATCCTGCAACCTTCTTATACTGTTTTGTTAGTTTTAACAATTTTTTCAGGTATTCCTTATCATTTGTTATATGAGAGTATTTATTGATTCTTAATAATTTTGCTTTATACATTTTAAGATTATGATGTTACACACATACATCTTTAGCACTGTTATGTTTTCTGATGGACTGAACCTTTCATGGTTGTTATCTTAATACCCAAGATTTCGTTCAAGCCCTGGATATTAAAACTTATACATGCTAGGCACATGTTCTGCTACTGAACTACATGCATATTCTAGGGATGTTTTGTGGCTAGACTCCATTTGTCTGTAGTTCTTTTTGTTCATATATGCATTACATATCTCTCTGAGTCTTTAAATTTTCTGGATGGTTATTTAAGGGGTATCTCATAAACAGTGTATAATTAATCTTTTAAAACAGAATATTGACATTCTTTTTTCTCTATTTCAAGTAAGCAATCCATATATTTTAATATATTTGATAAATACTTTATAATATGTATATATTTTAATGTGTTATATAGAAACTTAAATATAAGTACTTTGGTTTATGTACCATATTATTTGCTTTCTATCTGTCTTGTCTTTCTTTTTTCCTTCTTTTTTGATTGGTATTCCAATCCCATTCTTCCTCCTCTAAATCATGAATAGTACATTCTTTTATTACTGGTTATGCTAGAAACTATAGCACACACCACTTACTTAATATCATTTACTACTTCCTAGAAAACCAAGGGCCATAGAACACAGCAATTCCATTTCCTTTCCTTCAAAATTCTATGCCACTATTATATTTATGGTTTTAAATATTTATTTATGTATTTATTGATATCAGCAATAAAACTCAGGATCTCAGGTTGCCAGGCAGGCACTGTGCCATTGAGCTATATCCTTGGCCTGTATTTATTTTAATTATATACAACATACAAACGTTTAATCCCTTAAGCCCATAAGATACAACAGTCATGTAGATTTACGTATGAACTAATCTTTTTCATTGTCCCTTTTGCAACAACCCCAACTTTCAACATAATATTCCTTCTACCCAAACAATGTGTTTCCTTTATGTCCTTATTCCATTTTATTTCAAAGCTTATTTTTGCTAGATATATATAAAAAAAAACTACCCTGAAAGTTTCTTTCAGCACTATGAAGACACAGTTAAACCGACTTGTAGCGTCAATCATTTCTGCTGAGAAGTTTTCGGTTTTGTTGCTATTTAATTGAAGGTAGTATATGTTTTTCTCCCCAGCTGTTTACCATTATTTTTTGTCATTGGTTTTCAGCAGTTATGCCTCCATATGCCTAAGATGTTATATTTCTCTTTGGAGTGTAGCAAAATATTATAGAATGAGTAGCTTACAAACAACAGAAATTTGCTTCTCACAAGTCTGGAAACTGGGAAGGCTAAGGTACTACAAAGTTGGTGCCTGAGGGCCTCCTTTTCCTAACTGGCGCCCGCAGTGGAAGGGACTAGCTAACTGTCAAGTTCTCATTCATGAGGGCACTAACCTCACTGCTACCTCTCAAAACGCCATCCCTCATGCCATCACCTTGGGGGACAGGATTCTAACATATGAATGAGGGCCGGCGAGTGGAACTTTTACCCCATAGTATGTTCCCCATGCACTTATTCTTACTAGAGTTCTCCAGTCTTCTTGAATCTGTGGCTTAGAGTGTTTTATCTACATTGGATGAGTCCCAGCCTGAAACTCAAATACCATTTCCTTCCAAGGCCTGAAGGAATCCTTTGCTCTCTTCTTGAGGTTCCAGTCATAACACATGAGATCCCTGGATCACTCAGTCTTGAGCACGTCTTGTAACTTCTTTCAAGGTATCCATTCTTTTGTCTCCCCATGATTTAGTCTGGATATTTTCTTCGGATCAGCCTACTTGCTGGTTTTTTTTTTTTCTCCATTTTGTTAATTTACTATTAAGTCCATTCATTTCTTCTTTCTTTTTTCTTTTTGTTTGGTACTGGAAATCAAAGCCATGGCACTGTACATTCTAGATGCTAACTTCCTTTTCTTTCTAGGTATACTACAAAGCTATACCTAAGACCTACTTGCTTCTTAATTTCACATCTGTATTTTTTAGTTCTAGAATTTTCTTTTAGCTCTTTTTTTAATTACAGTTTCCAGTTCTGTATGAAATGTGGAAGTATGGCATTTTGTTCTCTCAGCATATTAATCATAGTTATTTTAAAGTTCATATCGGGTATATCTGGAATTGGATTCTCTGTGGGTCTGATTACTTAGTACCTTGTCTTTATTTAAATCACATCTACCACTTCTTGGCCTTTTGACTAAGATTAAGTGTGGGATTAATTTAATATTTGAGTCATATCTCTTCTTATTGCCCAGTGTTTTTTTTTTAAACTGAGTGCTAGACACTGCATTTGGCAAAGTTTAGAAAATAATCGGAAACTTAGGATAATGTTATTTGCTTTTAGAGAGAATTAACTTTTGTTTCTTGCAGGTAAAAAGTGGGCTTAGTAAAACAGAGCACTAGGAGAACCAGAGCATCTCAAAAATCTAATTGGGAACCCAGGTGACTACAATCTGGGCTCCATTATTTTTGGAGAACTTATCACTGTTCAGAGTTTACTTCTATGCTTCAAGTGAAATCTTGAATATTTATCAGGATACCTCTACTGGTCAAGCCCTGAATTCAATTTTTATCTCCTTAGCCCTAAGACTCTGTCCAAAGTTTTGCTTAGTTTTTGGTCTCCACTGAATCTTTAGCTTGCACAATCCAGTAGATGTTCGATTTTTAAAAACAGGAAGCCTAAAAGACTTGGTTTCTAGTACTATCTTTGTCAGTTAAGTACTTATGTAAATATATTCTTACTTATTAAGTGAAGATACTCATCTGCTTCAACCAAAATTTGAGCCTCAAATTATGTCATAGCTACATAGTAAAGACAACTTGAAAATATCAACATATTGATTAACCTACAGCTGTCAAACCAACATTAAGAACAGCCTGGGTTTGGTGGTATACACCTATAATCCCAACACTTGGGAGGTTAAGCCAGGAGGAACACTGCAAATTCAAAGCTAGCATGAGCTACATACTGAATTTAAAGCCAGTCTGAACTGCGCAGTGAAATTGTCTAAAAAAAAAAAAAAAAAGCCTGATATACAATTTTTTTTTTTTTTTTTTGTCTTTTTTGTTTTTACCGGTACTGGGGATCGAACTCACGACTGCCTGCTTGCAAGGCAGGCACTTACGCCGCTGAGCTAAATCCCCAGCCCCTAAAGCCTGATATAATATAGTGAGGATTTTATGAATTTAGTTTATATCATATAGAGATTATACATCACAAAATATTATAAATTCAAACATTTTTAAAATTTCTTAAATCCTGTAGAACAATCACCAAACAAATATGCATTTGTACATACTTTTACATCCCATTTTTGTGAAAAGGTTCTTTAAGTCAAGATTGTTGGCTTGTGACTGTACTCCACAAACAAATATTTTTGAGGTATTATTACTTGTTAAGACAGACATATGGGCAACTGTGTACCATGAACCTGTGTTGACCATTAAAATATCATCCTCCATATTTAATAAAGCTTTTACGGAATGGACAGCAAGACTTCGAGATTTGTCCTACAAAAAACAAAACCAGCATGATTAGAATTTCAAAGGGCCTGACTAGAAATATAAATTGACTTCATTTCAGATAACAGAAAGTACTTGGTAGGGCTCTTGAAGAGACACTTAACTCATTTCAGTTTAAAACATCTCAATATACGTCTAAATAAAAGTTAACCAAGAAAACTGCTAAATATATTTACAATAAAGAGCTTAACTTTGTTCAGCCTAAATCATTAACACGTGATTAACATATTTGTAAGGGCTTGCTTTAGATTCCATTCTTATTCCTTCACAAAAAAGCCCATTTCAATGTCACCTAAACTTGCTATTAAGCTGCTCAGAGAGATTAAAATTATGATATTGGAAAAGATAATGAAAAGATGTTGATCTCAGTGCTTGATTAGGTAAGAAATTCTGCCCAAGAACATGGGTGTGGGGAAGAACTAAACCTTAGTGAATCTCCAGCCAGATATAGAATCTAAGGGTATAAAAATGAACTTAATCTAATGATTTGGGCCATCTGATTTACTCATTCTATTGAAACCACATTATTCGTCTCATTCTCTTCCTACTGGCAGCCATTATCCACTGCTCACAGATCAACCCTGTAAGACTATCTTAAAGAGAGCGTGGGGAAGTGCTTTCTGTGCGCCTCTCCATACGCGAGGCGGCAGGGGATCGAAACCAGACATGAAAGAAAGCAAAGGTCTCACTGTAGCTGCCCTGGAATCCTCCCTTCGGAGAAAATAACACAGCCTGCCAGCGGCCAACAACCTCTCCTGGGAGTCTGGAGAGAAGAATATGCTCTGTACAACTTCTCATGAAACTAAGATGCCAAGATACAAAAGGAGCACTGACTGATTAAAGAGGCATCAGTTTTATTCGTGGTGACAGTTAGGCCTTATAAACCTCCCCCGTAATCCATTAAAAATACAAACACTATTGAGGGAGATTCTTTGAATAAGTAAGATTGCTGAAAATTACAATGAAAGTAAATATAGTTTACCTGAAAAATGACTTTATAATCTTTGAAAAGATCTGTATTTATAAGATCTTTTTTAAAACGAGATGGAAAAATTAAGACATCATAGCAATGTTGGTCCACAGCAAAGACTTTATCATCAACATGCAATATAGATGTGACTTGATTGTAGCCTTTTTTCTTCAAATTACTATAAACTTCTTCAGGGCTGTAAATATACAATATTAGGGTGTAATTAGAAGTATGATATATTAACAATGTATCCAAAAATAATACTTTTTTCTTGCAACAAAATATTACTGCATATGTTACATCTAATGGAACTCAGATTTTTTTTTTTTTTTGGAACTCATAATTTTAGCCAATAAGAAGCTAAAAGATAATTAGAAACAGAAAAGTCACCTGAATTATGTAATTACCTTTGCTAATTTGGTGATAAGATCTGGAATTAAATTATAACTCTAATGTGCCCCCGACCCTTAAAGTAATATTTCTAGCCAGGTGTGGTCGTGCCCGCCTGTAATCTCAGCACTCAGGAGGCTGAAACAGGAAGATCACTGAGCGTTGTAGGCAAACCTGGGCTACATACACCGTGAATTTAAGCCGAGTCTGAACTACATAGCAAGACTGCCTTAAAAAAAAAAAAAAAAAAAAGACAGTCTTTCTCACCACATCATTTTAAAAGATGGAGACTTGAAGTAAGGAATATAAATAAAAGACCTGAATAAACTCTCACCTTATCTTATAAGTGTTTATCCAAGCATAAAGCGGCAGGGTGGAGGCTCTCAGTTCCTGTTTCCTGAGCGATTCCGGCAGAATTTGATAAATGGAAAGAGCATCGTGTTTGATTCGACATCTTGCCAAAGCTGCAGCCAATTTTGTCTTAAAACTAGAGATAGAATATCCATTTTTGGTGAATTTTAATAAATTTGCCTGTAATTCCATTTTATATTTTGAAGTCATAAATAAAAAACTGTCATATTGAAAACAGAAAACCAAATAATCCTGATTCTTTTTTTCTATTTTTTGTTGTCCCTCGGCAGGCTAGTCAGGAAAATATTACAATTAATATGTTTATTCTTTATTCTACTACTAAGTACGGTGATCAGATCTGGAACTGTAAAGATTAAAGGAGAATGTTTACTCTTACGTAACTTCTAATTTGGAAGGAAATATATACACTAGCACATAATGACAACACATTATGAATGCTACAGCCACATCAATAAAAAGAAAGAGGAGAAGTTTGAGTTTGCTACTAAAGGAGGAGCAAGAAGTTTCCAGATCAAAAGTGGAGACATAGAGACACTATGAGTTTCCCGTACACAGCAAGAGATCACGGAGGGTGCAACACCCCAGATACAGAGGCGATAAACAGCGAAGCACATTTTCTAGGCAGGGTGTGGTGAGAGACAGATGGCTCAGATCAAAATAAATTTACACACACGCATCGGATGCTGGGATGCTTTCTGCAGGAAATAGAAGGTGACTGAAGAGTAGAGAAACACTGTTCAACTCACTGACCTAACAGCACTGCAAGTGAAACAAACTGTCCTATGCGTGGGTCCTATCCACTCTCTCTACTGTAGTGCATCACAGAAACACCTATCAATCTACAAATGATGCCCCCGAAAGTTACTCTCCGTGCTCTTCCTTAATGTAGTAACCTGCTGGTTTGACGTCTAAGCACCCTGTCCACTCTAAGAATAAGAAGGAAATAAGCAGAATAAAGATATGCCATGACCAGGAACTTAATGACCTAGGTCAGAGAGGCGAACCTTTACAGACGAGTGCCCAAACTGCCTCCAAAAACCATTTACTTGTTGCAAAGCTCCAATACGGCAGTTAAACCTGAATGCTGAGGTTTTAGTTTAGAAAAAAATTCATACATTAGCATTTTTGGTCTTAAGAGAGAAACAAATATGCATGCCATAGGTTTGCTAGAATCAAGCTGTATTACGTACCTGAAATCACTCCCCCTGCCAAAAAAAGAAATTCTCCTCTTCTGAAAAATGTCCCTCCCCTTCCCCCATTCATACCATTTTCTTAGAAGGTATCCCAAACTGATTGTCTCTGGCCACCTCCAATGGGCTGACGGTGCACTCTGGGAGTGTAATGTTTCAGATATAGAACAGAAAGATAAGCCAGTGCTTCTAGTTCTTAGTACTATAAAGTCTAAGTTGTCAGCAGCCAAGTTTCCTTCCCATCATTAGGAAGTTTTGCAGCAAAGATTGCAACTGACAAGAATTCTGATGCTACAATGAGGATCAGGTTCAAGTTAGCACAGCTCCACAGCTGCTGAAGAAATTCCCCCTTTTGCCTAATCCAGTTGCAAAGAAAGAATCCTGATATAGTACTTCCCCTTGATTATCTTTTTATTGTTTTATTTTTGTGTGTGGGCCAGGGAGCAAACTCAAGTCCTCGCACATGCTAGGCAAATGTTTGATCCCCGAGCGACACCCTCTCTGCCTGTTTGTTTCCTGCACCACTGAGGATGGAATTCAGGGCCTTTACACAGCTACATCCCTAGTGCTTGTTTCTATACATGTATGTATGTGTTGTACATGTATGCATTTATTGAGGCAGGGTCTCATTGAATTACTAAGTTGCCTGGGCTGTCCCTTAACTAGCAGTCCTCCTGCCTCAGCCTCCCAGAGTGCTAGGATAATAGGTATGCACCACTATACCCAACTCCCTTCAATTATTTTTTTTTGTTTCTTTTATTTTTATTTAAAGAAAGACAAAACAAAATAGAAAACAGGCAGAAATAGTACATACTTTCTTTTTTTTTTTTTAGAAATAGTACATACTTTCAAAGAAAAGAAACAGTGTTAAGTCACTAGCTGATGTATACATATTGTCCCCCTATAAATAGTTGTTCAAGGCACACAAGTGGAGCATATAAATAGGATTTCAACCAGGAAGACTACAAATAGTTCTGTTCAACTATCCAACAAAAACTAAGTAATATGGCTATCAATCCTATACACTTAAGACATGTACGCATTTATCCATATCTTCATTTATGTTGAGACCTAACAGAGCATATTAGATTAAAATCCTTCTGAACAAAGATTAATAATATTGCTGGATTTCACATCATAACACTCCAGAATCAGGATTGGGTACTGCAGTGCCACTTTCTTTCAAAGTTTTTGTTCATTTCATCATGTGTCATCAGATCAGTGCTCATAAACTGTTTATAGGTTTTACGTAAGCTTGAGTCTTAACATATATTTCTATCCTTTCTATGTTAGAGGGAAAAACATAACAAAGCAGGAAAGAACTAAACTTTTCTTCTAGACATATCAAACTAAAAAGACAGATAAATCTACTGTATGAGGAGTTCTATCCTGGTCACTGTGCTGTTTCTTGTTATCATCAACAGAATTGGCTATATCATCAGATAAAGTATAATTGAGCATATCAGTACATAACAGAATTAACAGAAATACAACTTTATAGATAGTGTAGAGCTACAAAAACAGGTAGTAATCAAATCAGAATGGATATCACAGTGATCATTGTCATTTTCAGTATAGTTGTCTGTACTCCTCAACTTGTTGCCATCAACCTTACAGGTTTTGAATAAAATCTGTCAATAATAAGCAGCAATCAAACAAGTCAGATTTAACTAAGATCAGTCATGATATAACAGTATAAGTCATACATGGATCCTGATTGAGTTAATAGGGAATTAAAGATGTCCCCTATGCTATGGACAGCCGTCCGTGCCCTCAGATCCAATGCTTGTACACAAACTAGGACAGAACGAGTTCCAACCAAGCAGAGTGGGGCGAGTAATAGGGGTTTTAATTCCTGATACACTATTAGCTATATCTTCTGCTGTTTTTTTTTTTTTTGAGGACTATTCCTCTCTTTTACTCCCCCAGAATGAACTGTGTATTTTTGGGTCTCCCCAACACTCAAGGTTTTGTATTAGGAGGCAACCTGCTATTTACTTGTTTCTGAACTTTCTTACTCTTGGGCTGGATTTCTACTTATATTTCTTCATTTATTAAAGCCTGTCTGTCCAACCTATCCATATATACTGGTCTAGTTACCCCTATTACTCTATGGTTCCCTATCACATCGAGTTCCACTTTCTCATGTTTGATTTTGGTCCATATAACCTTCTTCAGGCTAATTATATTTCCTATAAAGAGTCTCTCTGTGGACCCTATTTCTTTATCCACTCTGCCTGCTATCCTCTATTTTAGCCCTGAAGTGAGGGTATCTAGGCCATCTATATTAGAAATTATATCCAACCTTTTCTGCCTCATTTCTATTGAGCTCTTTTTCTGTCATTAGTTGTCAGTTTGTCTTCTTCATTTTGCTTTCTGCTCCATTCATTGTGGCCTCTCTGTTACTGTTTTTGGAATCTTGTTATTTTTCTCTTTTAGAATGTCCTGCAGTATTCTCTGTAGAGTTGAATTGGTGGTTGCAAATTCCCCTAGTTCCTCTTTATCGTGGAAGCACCTTGTTTCTCTATTAATTTCTAGGGAGAGTTGTGCAGGATGTATTAATCTTGGCTGGAGGCTATCTTTCAAAGCTTGAATTACACTCTTTGTGATTTGATGGTTTGTGCCAAGAAGTCTGCTGTAATTCTGATGGGTGTTCCCTTATAAGTGATCTGTTTCTTATCTTTGATGGCTTTTAATATTCAGTTCTTATATTGGATTTCTGGAATTTTGATTATTATATGCCTGGGTGTAGCTCTGTTAGGGTTGTAGGTGGCTGGGGTCCTGTATGCCTCATACATCAGAGTATCTGTACCTTTTCCAAAATTAGGAAAATTCTCCAGGATTATTTATGTGAATAGCCTTTGTAGTTAATTTGTTTGTGTCCCTACTTCTTCCTTTACATTCTTAATTCTTATCATCTTCTAGCCTTTGTATTATTGCTGTTTGTTTCCTTGTTATTTTTAAGAAGTTTTTCATTTCATGCTCCCACATTACAAATCTGTCCTCCAGTTCAGTTAAGCTATCCTTAGTTTCTTTCAAGCTGTTATGCCAGCTTTCAATAGAGTTTTTAGTTTCCTGGTAATCTCTTTGAACCTGCTTCATGTATTCTATGTTTTCTCTATTTTCTCCATCAAATAATTCTCCCCTTTTTTTCTGTTCTTCCATTCCACCATCTGTTTTTTTCTTGGGCAGTGCTTAGCATTTCTCTAACTATTCTACTTGTATCTTGCTTTACTTTGTTAAATACTTCACTTTTGAACTCATCTATGTCTCCAGAGATATCGCTTTATGTCTATTGGTGCCATGTCTGTTTTCTGTCCTCATTCTCCTTTGCATTTACCTTTCCTGGATCAGTGTTCTCAGGATTGGGGACTGAGGACCCTTTCTTGTTGCCTCCTCTTTGCATATTTTTGGTTCCTTCCATACAGGCATTTATAGGAGGCCCAGTTTCTTTCTTTGTGGTTTACAGTTTGTTTGAATTGCGCCAGCTAGGTGTTCCCCCCACTGCAGTGTACTAGGGAGACACAGACCTGGGAAACCTATGCTGGGCCTGCCCCTCCAGGTCAACCTACTGAAGACTTCACTGCTGGGTTGCACCACCAGGCACAGGGACCTGGTTTGGGCTAGCCTACTGGGTCTTAGTCTGCAGCGTCACCCAGGTCAGGTGCTCCCCACCAATCCTGCTTGAGAGGGGAATATGCGACTGAAGTCACTGCTGCATCCTGTTCTGACTAGTCTGCCCGGTCCCAGAATGTCCTCTGTTGGAGTCTCCTTATTTATGGAGGGGTCCCTGTTCCTCTCACTCACCACAGGTTGATGTAGGGCTCCTCATCAGTTCCGCTCTCAATTTGGTTTGCCGATTCCTGCTCTCAGAGCTTTTGCATCTCTATCTCTGCTGTGTGGATTCAGATGCAGCAGCAGCAGCAGGAAATTCAAATCGCAGTTTCCAGAGGCACAGGTTCCAGCTTCAGTGCTGAGATTTTATCTGTTCCGGTCATAGCACCGGGATTGCATTTCCAGTTGGTTTCTTTCAGCTTAGTTTGTTCCTGGTTCGGTAGGGAATATCACCCCTTGCTTAGGACTCCCCACATTGCACCATTCCTGGATTCTAAGCTGGCTATCTCAGAGAGCCTCTGTAGCTGCTGTTATCTATCCACCATGTTTTCTGCAAGTCTTTTTCAATTTTTTTTTCTTTTCTTTTTTTTTTTTTATCGGTACCAGGGATTGAACTCATGACCACACACTTGCAAGGCAGACACTTATGCCGCCGAGCTAAATCCCCAGCCCCTCAATTATTTTTTAATGAAATAAACTTGACTCCCTTTTGGCTTTAGAACTGTTAGGAATTTTTATCTAAGCGTACCATTATTAAAACCTAACACATCAGAAATGTTTCTCTTTGAGCATAAATCGAGTATTAATGTCAAAGGAAATTCTCTGCTTGAAAAATGTAAAATCAGACACTTCACAGACATGTTTCAGACCCTTCATTAGATAAGTGAAATTGCGGCAGAGCTTCCCAAGAGGGGCTAGAGAGAATGTCCAAGAGATTTAAATCAAAGCAAAGCAAAACAAAAAACCTTCAGCAAGTTTTTAGGTGGTATTTGGGCTAAGAAACTCTGGGTCACTAGGGGCAATGTGAGAAGTGAAAAGATAAGAAAAACAAAATATCTAACAGATGTGATTTATTTGCACAGTTGGTCTAACATTCATAAATCATTCAATGCAAATTACCTTATCACCTAATAGAAGAAGGAAGCAAATAACAACTGAGCATTTCCGCTTTCTAAACTGCTGATCTGTTTTTTTTTTTTTTTTTTTTAAACTTGGCTCGATTGCCATTTTCCGCTTCCCACACCGCAGCATGGAAAGTACCTCTAGGCACAAAGCCAAGAGATTCTAGAGCTCAACACATTCACATTTGCTTTTGTCCTTTCAGGATCAAATTTCTATGCAGTTTCTTAACTAACATCTAAAACCTGTAACTTGTGTTTTATCCAGTTTTCTAACTGCTTAAAGTAAGAGAACAAGTCTGACTCAGCGTGCACAATCCTGACCAAATAATTACACATTTAAAATACCACTCCTCGGGGAGCAAGTGACGGGCAGTGTAACCGGTGAGCACGCTATCGCTGCAGTACGACTGGCAGAGACAGAGCAGTTGGACGGCGGTGTGGCAAGGCAAAGAAGTGGACAGGTCAGCAAGTGTCTTGCACTGCACTTACAGAACTCAATGCAGGAGCTACAGTCAGGTGCGGTGAGGGAAGGAGAGGGACAAACGTGCCATCTGTGAGCACAGTGGAGCCTTAACTGTAACCATAGAAGGCTTCGGGCTGAAAAGCTTTGGGATGGTCTGGAAGGATGGACTCCCGGGGTCCTCCACACCACCCCGCCCTGGCTGCCTCTCTATTTATTCTTTGCCCATAAAAGTTCAACAAATTATTTGGCAGAAGGACACGCCCTGGCTGGTGGGAAAGCAAAGGGACTGGAAAGGAGGAGACGGTGGTCTTTTTCTTAACCCAGCCACATGTTTAATAGGCAGCTGAGCTGATACAAGGAATGAGTTCCTAAAGATCTTGCGTATGTCAAAAATGATAACAGTGCCATCTTGACTTGATCACTAGAGCCATGAATAAATGAAGCAAAAGATTCAAGGTAGGGGAGAAGTGTGATAAAAGGAGAGAATCCCTGGGAAAGACAAAAATAATCATGAGGAGGAAATCATTTGATTCTTCTTAACTACTTCTTCCATAGCTCTTAAACTTAGACTTTATGCCCTGGGGAGACACATACTAAGGGAATCTGGTACATGGTAAGGTTCCAATGCTCTGTCCCCTGGGAACAACGGTGCCCACCCTCCGGCACTGGAGGATCCTCAGGGGCGCACCCACCCCTCCTTGTCCTCAGTGCCTATGGGGTCTGAACCAAGGGGATGCCCTGGCCCACATGGAGCCAGTCAAATTGCTCTTGCCAGAATGTAGAAGGTAAGAAGTCAGTCTAAGGAAGGAAACTAGCACACAGCTGTAAGCTATCAGCTCAGGTATTATGTGCAGATGGGTATGGAGAGGTCTCATGTGGGCTAGAGAAACAGAGAAGGTAGATGTGCAGAGAGAAAAAAGAACGAGGCAGACAGTAAGAGAAAAGCAGAGATTAAAAGGATAGAAAGAAAATAAAGTCTCAACATCTCTCTAGTTCCCTTTTTTGTTCTTTTCCCGAGTCCTTAAGTTATGTTAGGTATTCCAGTATCTTTATAAGAATATTTTCCATTTTGGCTCAAGCTAACTAAAGATGGCCTCTGTTACTTGAAAGCTGATACTCTTGATACTGTGGCTTTATCTTTGTTCTACTGATTTCTGAAATTCAATTGCTAACCACATTCCATTAGTTTTCATACCATATTATAAACTGAGTTTCATAGTGAATTAAGTGTCGTGTGATTGATTAGTTTAGGAGTAAAGTTTACATTATATTAACCTCTATAGAGTTAGTAACATTGCACTGACAACAATATAACCAGATCTGTGTTAAGACAAGGAGCATGGTGTTTATTAACGGTAAAGGGAAAGCTCTAGAAGTCCTTAAATGGTAGCATCTCCTGCTCCTCACTCGTCCTAAACCAGGTGCTCTCTGCTTGTCCTTTTCCGACTTTCTCACTTGGTTAGAGCCCTGCGGATTTCCTGGCAAGTCAGCCTAACCTCAGTTCTCATCAGCCCGTCTGAGACTGTTAAATCCTAAGTGCTGGCCACATAAAACAGAACTCGAGAGACGCACAGGAAGACTGGAACCCACAGCGTGTCCCACAGCAGACTACTCCATCAGGTTTTCTGCATCCATCCTGTATGGCCATCTTGGGAAACAGGTTGTCCAATATGGACACAAGCAGTGAGATGGTTCCCCCAAATCCAAACAGTATGCAGGGGCTGGATGCCTACTTATCTAACACAGAAAGTACACACATCAGGTTGCTTCTGTTCTTCTCCATCCCACAGTGGTTATGATGGACAAGAGCTATGACTATGTCACATCCTGAATCCACAGAGTCCCTCAGCCCAGCCTCGAGTTTACAGGTAGGAAGAGTGGTGGCATATAAATGTTTAAAGTGTGGACTTGGGAGCAGATGCCTGAGCTTCATTTCTGGCTACTTCCTCTTTCTAGCTCCACGGCTTTAGGTAGGTCCTTTAACCTGCCTGCTGTTCAGTTTTCCCAGTGCAAAATACTGTCACAGTTTGGTAACTGTCACTACCTCAATGAGTTGTTATAGGAAGAGCTTCTCAGGAGAGTGATTTGAGACACACTAAGTGTTTAATAAAGCTGTTAGGATTACTCTACCACATGCATCCTCTAGTCTCAGCTTTCAACAATGTAAATGAAATAGCTTGAATTTCCCATAAAAATATAAAACCAGACATCCTATTGATAACTATGTCAGTCAACTCAGTAAATAAAAACTTTCTTATAACCTTTCCCTGTTGCCCTGTGTGGGTTCTATTAGCGTTCAACAACATAATAACAGAAGCCATAACCAACAATGTGTTTGTCTGTTTGTGTTGCTATAATAGGCTTTCAGAGACTAAGTGATTTATAAGCAAGAGAAACTTATTTTCTCACATTCAGGAAGCCCAAAATCAAGCCACTGCCATCTTGCTGAGTCATGGCATGGTGGGAGGCAGAAAGGCAAGCACTCAAGAGAGCCACACCTCCCCTCCATATTTTTAGTGCTGGGGATTGAACACAGGGCCTCAAGCTTGCAAGGCAGGGACTCTACCACCACACCACACCCCAGTTCCCGAAAGGCCTTTTAATGATGGTGTGGATCATTTACAAGGTGAAGCCCTCATGACCTAAACACCTCCCATTAGACACTGATCCCAGTACCATCACGATGACCATCAAGTTTCCAGCACATAAATTCTGGGCACACGTTTGAACCACAGCAAATGATAACATTCATGATTTACTGACCATTTTCACTTAGGATTTATTGTTTAGGGGTCTGGTTCTAATCTGAATGTTTTACATGCATTAATTTAATTAGTTCTCCTAGCTAGCCTTTAAGGAAGGTACTTCTTATCCTATCAGCAAGCTTCTGTTGATATAGGAGAAATTTAAAACATGTCATTTTATTTTAAACTAAATAGAACTTTCTTTTTCAATTTGGCAAAATAGTGAGTTCTTACCTGCTGTTGGGGTTTTCTCACTTGATATGTTAAATTTTTTTAAATTGCAAATGAAGCTTAAGAAACAAATGATAGCTTTTTGTAATGAGGTCTAATTTATGTGTATGTTAAAAATTATGAGGGATTTTAATGATTCCCCACATGCTTGCACATTGCGTCTTGAAATCCAAGATTTCAAAGTAATTTGATTTTATTTTGGGGGGTTTTGGCAGGGTGGGGTTAACACAGGGTCTCACTATGTAGCCCAGGCTGGTTTTGAACTCACTATATAGCCCAGGCTGGCCTTGAACTCTCGGAGAACATGTCTCAGCCTCCTAAGTGCTAGGATTACAGGTATGAGCTACCACACCGAGCCATCAATCTGATTTTGAACAGAATATTGTATCTGTTCAAGACTATAAAAGAACTCAAGAAACTTATAAACTTTTGTATTTTCCTCCATAAATTTTTAACACTTACTTACACATTGTATTGTATTCAATAATGCCAGTGACAACACTGGTATTGCTTTAATATAAAAACTCCTTTTATTTGTATAATTACCTATTAAGAAGGTCCTCTACTTCTTGAACTTCTGATATGGACTCTTCATTATCAGGAAGGACACGAGTTTGAAATTTTCTATCTTGGAAATCATACAGCATCACAATAATAAGACTATTCAAATGATGTGGCTACCAAAGGGAAACACACATAAAGAGAAGTATACAAACAATATCTAACAATAATATTTTATTTTGCATTAGTTTTCATACCTACCAGGAATATGACAAGTTTTACACGGTCTGGTTAATTTGAAATAGGAAAGGCCTTCAAAATATGGTGGAGAACCCAATTTTTTTTTAAAAAAGCCTTTCAGAAAAGAAAAATCTTGATATGGTCATCAAAATGAAAGGACAAAGATCAGAATGAGAAGTAGGAAACAGTTTATATTTTGACGAACTCTCAAGATTAAGCAAATGAGCTACTATTTAAATCTGAAAGCTATTTAACTTTTTCTTTAAAAAATAATCATGAGACAAGCTAATTCTAAAAGTTGTCTACTTACTATTGTAGTGCTTGGGAATAGATAGCTGTCTATTAATATAGTTTCCAAAATATCTTGATCTGCAAGACAAGGGGAATGCCTGTTATTAAAAATACCAAAGGTGAAAATGAAAACTTTGTAATCAAAGTACACTTTAAATAATGTCATTATGGCCAGGTGTGGTGGTGCAGGCCTGTTATCCCAGCCCTCCGGAAACTTGAGGCAGGAGGATCATTGCAAATTCAAGACTAAGCCTGGACTACAAAGTGAGTTCAAGGCCAACCTGAACTACATAGTGAAACCATGTCTCAAAAAGACCAAAAAAAAGTCAATAACTTTGTTTTCATATTTAAAATATACCTCCATTCTTGATCTTAATAAGGTCAAATTAAAATAGCATGATGAAATATTAATAATTTTTATGAACCCTGGGCCATGTGATTCCACATAGAATCCTAGTCAAATAATATGAATAATCAAAGAATAAAAGAACTTTGATCTTAACTTGTGATCTTTCAAAAACTTTAAAGAAGACCTACTTAATAAGGTAACATTCTTCTCTTATCCACATTAAGGGCTGCTGGATTGAACTGCTAAGATTTTATTTAGGAATTTTATTCTATGTTTATGAGCGATACTGGGCTACAATTTTCTTTTCTCGCAGCATCCTCGTCAACGTTGACAGCAGAGCTGAGCTGGCCCTACACAATGAGCAGGCAGTGCTCCCTCTTCCTCAATCCTCTCCAACAGTTTGTGTTACAATGACATTTTTTCTAGCTTGAATACTTGGTAGAACTCACTAGAGAAGACACTGAGATGACATTTAATCTATGATTCAAATGACAAGTTGCCACATAAAGATCGAGTAGGAACCGCAGTCCAGCGAGAGAGAATAAATGGCTAACAGAAGTACTAGATGAAAACAAGTGGACCTATTTGAAAACCTCCACAGGGTTCTTATGATCTCTTTTGACACCAGCTCTTAACTAGATGAGCATCACAGAGCAGATGTTTTAATCAGTTAAACAGAAAGCAAGGCCTGTCTTACATTCATTCAATGTTCAAAGAAAACATATTACATGCAATGTGCACACTGAATTTTAATCTTTATTTGAAAGATGGGAAAACTAGAAAGAACATTAATTTGGAAACACAGACTTCAATTTTCACAGGAAATCTTTTATGAATCACTGTCAATATTTATATGAGGTAACATTCCCATTTCATTCATAGTGGAATGAACTCCAGAGTTTCACACCCTTCACACTTGCAAACCAATTCCACTGAACTTCATTGTCTCCCAGCATAAATCCCAGATGACGCAGAGGGCTTCTAACACAGCAGACTGCAAGGGTAGTAAAGCTGTGAGCACCAGGGTGCTGGGTGCCCACAGAACAGCAGAAGCAGAATCGAGGACCAGAAAGCACAACATGATCTTTGCCAACACTATAGTTGCTTTGTAGGGCTCTTGTCCAAACTAGTATCTTAGATACTGTCAAGAATGCATTATCTTTATATTTGCAATTTACATAACATTCTCACAGAGCAATATCAATGTTAATAATAACTATAAATGGCACATTTTACATTGCACATATTGTTGTAAAGGTTTTTTATATATTTATTTAATCTCTAAAACAGTCAAATGAGTTGGGTCCTATCACTGATCCCATTTTGTAGGTCATAATGCACAGAATAGTTAAATAACATGTCCACGGTTACACAGTGTCAGATCAGGAACCCCATCCCAGTCTCCTGGGCAAAATTAATAAAACTAGTCACTAACACTTTCGAAAGAATATTTGATAGAAGGATATAGCAGATGCTGGGCATGGTGATACACACCTGGAATCCCAGCACTTGGGAGGCTGGGCAAGAGGATCACTGTGAGCTCCAGGCCAGCCTGAACTACATAGTGCAAACCTGTCTCAAAAAAATAACTAAGTAAATAAAAAGGATATAATAGGGAAAAGAAGTTGCCATCAATCATTATGTAGTAAAATAAAATAGATCATAAAAATAAAAAAGCTAGAATTATAGATGGAAGCTGCTACTCTGCCTCCTTTCATCCAGATGATTCCTTTTTTAGCCACACTGCTGGCTTCTCTGGGTGTTAATACTCTGTTGAGCTTCTTCCAATATTTTTCATCTACAAAATGAGAATCTTCCACCTCAGAGAACTGGCATTCAAATAGAATAAAGGACTCTGTGACTTATAAAGAGTTACACAAATGTAAGGGACTATAACCATCAATCAAGTGAACTGTTTTAACCTCTTAGGTGACAGTGCACAAGAAATTCTTGATCAGTATCATTTCCCTAATGAATCATTATGTGGTCAATAATCAACTCAGCAGTCAGGAGTGAGTTGGAGGGGGTGGCCAAACTGCATATTCTAAGGAAAGCTTTTGCCGTTGATCACCTCCTAGGAGAAAAGGCCAAGCCTTTGAAATGTCTCACCTGATAAGATGTCTTTGTTTACCAGCTTGACTGACTTGGGCAAAAGTTAGATTGAGTAACCAAAAGTAGCCACATGGGCTCTCTGCCTATGAGACTGGGGTCAAGAAAAACCCTAGAGAGCAGGGTGAGATTCCTTGGCTGTAAAACTTCCTGCTATCACACATTTTTAGCAGGACAATGGAGCACACTGTCTATAAGGCTCCATGAGTACCAATGTCTTGCAAGGTTCTGTGAGTCCTTTCATGGAATTGTTGAACCTGGCTGGGGATGATCTTGAGATCTTTTGACTAATTCCCAAAAGCTAGAACCAAATAACCAGTTAAGTACTAATTTACTGACAAGTTATACAATTCCAAAATGACCAAGTTAATGAGAGTTCTCGGGTGGAAAGTTTGCCAACTACCATACACATCTAGGGAAGCTAGAGACAGAATTAAGTCCAGAAAAAGATCGGCAACTTCATTTTCCTTTGATTTTATTTGTTCAATGATATCTCAAGAAATCATTTTTGCCAGTTGTTCTTTTTTAAAAAAAATATTTAGCATTCCTTGAAAGATACAGAGATTCTTTGAAAAATAGACCAGCCGGTGGTATCTACTAATCTGACAAAAGTCAAATTTAACAGGACTAAGTGTTCCTTTATTAGTAATCTTGTTTAGCAGAAAATTGATTTTGGAATTATTTTGTAAGGCAGGACTAGTGGCAATCTTCATTTCAAAAAACATTATTCTGAGCCTTTTAAATCTTTAAAAGGTTAATCAGATATACGTAAACCCTGCTTGAAAGAGCTTATGCACAAAGAAGGACATCAATAAAGAAACTAAAACTGAAAAGTATTAAACAGAACCAAAGGTCATACTCAACTTTCATATAGTTAAGAAATTTTATTTTTTCCCTGTCCTCTTACTTTCTTAAAAAAAATATGTGTGCTCTAACTTCCTATTCACAAAATAACACACAAAAGATACCATTACCTAAGCACGCTTTAATTTATACAATAACTTTCACCACTCAATAAGGCTTTAGGGATAAAAGGTGGAATTTTCTAAACCGTGACTCCATAACGTAAAATGTATAATCCAAATGTGGATTTACAAAATCTTGCAAGTGAAAGGATTGCCAGAACATTGATGTGACAGAAGACAAAAATGAAACACACAAAAGCCTCCAATATCTTAAAAGTAAAAGATCAGGCTCTTAATTATGTTGGAAAACGCACTGCACTTGGATTCTGATTATTTTTATTTTTATTTTGCAGTGCTACAGTGACAGGGCCCAAGGCCTGGCAAGTGCTAACCATGCGCTCTGTCAGATGCCAGAAGCTCCCCTTCTGATTTTACTCTCCCTGGATATTAGAAGTTACTGAGGTGATAACTTAAAGCCAGACAGCATTAGTGTAAGGTATTCTAAACAAGTAAACACAATAAGTTGAATAATATTATTATATTATTAAAAAAGAATGTTGCAAGGAAAGGAAGATTTGTGAAGAATTTTGATCATTATTTATCTGAATAGGATTTTCTGAATCATTAAGATCAAATAGTCACAAGATTCTTTCATAAAACAGAAAACAGGATTGAAAGGAAGTAAAAGATAATCTACTCAAAATAACTCTGTAATACAGCCATCTAGTTAATTTTATATTAATTCAGGCCTTTATCATAGTTTTCTTTCTTCGTCTCTTCTTCTCTCTTTTCCTCTCTCCCATTTTTCCCTCCTCCTTTTCTTACTCCCCCCAACTCCCGCCAAGTACTGGGACTTGAACTCAGGTCCTTGTGAATCCTAGGTAAGAATTCTGGCACCAGCCACATCTCAGCCTTTTAAAAAGATTTTGAGATGAGGTTTCACCAAGTTGCCTGTGTTGGCCTTGAATTCACAATCCTCTTGCCTCAGCCATTACGGAGCTGGGATTATTGGTATCTGTCACTACACTGGCCTTATTATTGATTTCTAAAGATAAAATTCAATATTCTGTTAAGGACACTGCGTATTATAGAATCCCAGTATTAACATTAAATACTGGCTAACCGACAGCTGCCTGGGCTGCATTTCACCATTGCAATGTGACTCGTAAAGAGCACCACTTTGATTTGTGGGAAGGAGAGAACAAGAAATGAAACAGAATCTGAAAGATAAAAACTGGAGGAGGAAAATTGGTAAGACAGACTTATCTGTCTTAGCTGCAAAAAATCAACAGAAGGAAACAGAGATGACCAAAGGAAACATCAAATTTTCTCTATGAAGACAAATTCCAGACTGCAGAGTTGAGCTGCATCATCTCTGCAGACTCCTAGCCAAGTGTGGTTGCTGTAATCCCAGCACTCAGGAGGAGGCTGAGGCAAGAAGATCGCTGAGAGTTCAAGCCCAGTTTGAGGCTACATAGTGAGTTCAAGGCCAACCTGAGCTACACAGTGAAACCCTGTCTCAAAAACCAAACAAAAAAACAGTCTAAAGTTCACAGTTAGAACTTCTGTGAAGACCAAGTTCTCCAGGCTCTGTGACAGCTCCTTTCATACTAACCATAACTGGTGGTTTCTTGAAGTCAGCTCACTTTAGCTGACAGGTTAACCATAGCTGAGGTTACTGAAGACACTGAGTCTGATATTCTGAAGACAAATAAATAGAAGGGGAAATTCCCCTCATGTTTGGCCCCTGAAATTAAGGCTGTTGGTTAAGAATGGGATGATGGGGCTGGGGATTTAGCTCTGCAACATAGGCGCTTGCCTGGCAAGTGTGAGATCTCGAGTTTGATGCCCAGTAAGTTGGTATCATTTTTTAAAATATTGCATTCTCTCTTTTTATTTTGTCTCTGTTCTTGTCACTTTCCCCTAGTAGTTTTCTATTTGTTAAAAATTCATAAACCAAAATAACATGATGTGAAATTAGGGAATGGAAAGAAATACTCGAGGTGAGAGAAACACCTGTAATCTCACCGCTCCAGGAGGCTCAGACAGGAGCCTGAGCCCAGCCTGCACCACTTAGTGACTTGGTGAGAAGATCCTGTCTCAATAAGTTGGGGGAGAGGGGGTTGCTAAAGACAGTGTGATCCATGGCCTTAAGTTCACTCTCCAATCACACCTATACACACACACTCACACACTAAAATGATGCTTGGATATTTCCATTGGCTCCTGTTCTCTCTGCTTATTAATTGCGTCTTGTTCATTTCGATCACTGCAGCATCAATATCTAAGCACAAAACACTTCTAGGCACGGGGGTGGGGGTGGGGGACACAAGGTAAAAACTGCTAGTTTCACTGAACGCCCCGCATTACCCAGCGCTATGCACTCCGGGAGAGACACAAGGCCTTCGTGGTGTGAGGGTGGCAGGGTGGGGGCTGCACCCCAGACTCCCGGGTACTGTTCTTTTAGCGCCTCTGGTTGATCTTCAAGGAGGGAACTACTCACATTTCAGGGTGCTGAAAGCCAGCTCGTAGGACAATCGCCTAAACGTTTCATCCTCTGACTGCAACGAGAACCGCAGGGGTTCATTCCCGTACTTGATTATGGCTTTCTCTGGCGACTTTTCCTTTCGAATACCCTGAAAAATGTTCGCTGCCATCACGTACACGGGGTCCGGGTAGCCAGCTTTTTCCGGCGCAACAGCTAAACTTTTTTCTCTGTGCGCCGCGTCGTCTGACAACTGCAGGAGCGCGACCTGGGAGATCTCCTCGTTACTTCTGTCGTTAGACAGCTCCAGCTCACTGATGGAGTTCACCATGTCTGCCCCTGACCGTACCAGCTCAAAAAGCCCCCGTTACACCTCCGATGTTCCAGGAAACGGTTTTCCTCGTATCTTATGCATCTTCTCTGTGAAAAGAAAAAGTGTCGTTGGTGGATCACTATTGCGGCCGCACCTCCCTCGGCGGCCGTGGAGACCAACAGGGGGCATTTCCTGGTCTACGTCTGCTGCCCACAATGAGACCCCTGAGGGAAATTTCTGGAGGCGCAGGCCGGCTGGGGACCCCCCCCCCATACACACAGAGTGACTTTGGAGACCCGCTCCCCAGGGATCCCGCTCGCAGGGATCCGATCCCGTCGCCGTCTCAGGCCCCCGCGGTCCCGCCCGCCCTTACCCCCAGGGCGGATGTTTCCCGGGGTTCTGTGGGCGCAGACGCGGCGGCCGCTGCACTCGGGGTACCGCCGCTGGAGTCAGTCACAGGTCCTCAGGAGCCCGTGCTGTGGCGACAGAGAAGCCGGTTTAGTTCAAATGCAGCTTTTTCCGGGAGACACGCGCCTCGGGCCTCTTCCGCTCCGGTTCCCCAGAGCGGGGCGCTCTGGGGGGCCTGCCTGCCCCTCCGCCTTCGCGCCTGCCGCCGTCGCCAGCCGTGGGCGGGGCCAACACCGCGTCTCCAGGGCAACCGGACGCCGGGCGGGCAGCACGCCGGAAGTTCCCGCTCTGCACTAGTCCTTGCGTGAAGCCCAGACCCTTGCATCGATCGTTGTTGGAAGCCGTGGCCACTAATGCTACATCTTGTTTACAAACGATTTTTTTAGAGCTGTCTGGTAAAGTTCAGTGGTTTTCAACTATCAAGCACGTTGAAGAGCTTGTTTAAAAATGCAAATCCCTTCCATTTTCAAAGCTTTTACAAATGGGAAAGGGACCAAGAGTTGGAAGGGGCAGGAAAGGAAGAGGAAAATACGGGTTTAAAAAAGGAAGAAAAATAATTAAGATGTATTATGTACATGTACCAACTCTCCACAGTAACTGTAACGATTATGTACTGCAAGCATCTGTTTTAAAAAAGGAAGGAGATGTGTTTGAAAGAAGTATTTCCAGCGAGATTAAGACAATGTGCCTTTTACTGTGATTCATTTAAAGTGTTAACTATTGTATTTTTAGTCACAAAAATGCAAATTCCTAAAACCCACTCTAAGAGATTCTAAACCAGGGATTCTGGAGGCAACCAAGGAAGAGTTGGCTCTGGTGCAGTCAGTCCACAGACCATGGATGGTTTTGCTATTATGGTTATCCTATCTCTGTCTCTTAACTTTGCAAAGTCCTCTCTGAGTTTCTGATCCTTCTGTTAACCAGACTGGTTATCCCTGGTTATTTTGTGTATAACGTGCTCTATTGGAGTCTCCCATCCTCTTCCACACCTGCTGTACAAGTAGCTTCTTGGCCGCAGGGTAAAATCCAAACCTTTGAGAAGCAGGACAGGATCTTCCTGCATGTGGCCTGGCCTCCCTTGCCATCTTCAATTGACATCCTTCAACCAGTCCCCAAACTTCTGCATGCTATCCCTTCAGTCCTGAAAACTCTTTCCTTTTAGTCTGTCTGGCAAATTCCTACTCTGTCTTTAAAACTCAGCAAAAGCATTACCTCTCTCAAAGCCTTTCCTAGTGCTTGCATGTGTTAGGGTGTAAATTTAGCTGCTGAAACAGAGATTCAAAATTTCTGCAGGCTTATTTTTCACCTAAAATCCTGTTTCACATAAAGATATTTCAGTATCTGACCATTAGGCTCCAAAAGCACCTTACCCATGTGTGAGGATTCTTACACATATAAGGTTTTCATAGCCAGACTTTGGGCTCCATACTCTTACATAAAGGTGCTCCTCCACAAATCCGTCAGAGACCAAGACTCCTAACTGGGGCCACCGCTAAAGGATTTGCTCTTCTGCATAGTCTAAGACAACTCATCCCCATGTCCCTTTCCAGCCAACACTAAAAGAAAATAAAAGGGAAGGAGAAGACATGCCCATTCCTTTCAAGAACATAACCTGAAAGGTGCACATATTACTGTAGCTCATATTCCATTGGCCAGAACTTAGTCACATGACATACCTAGCAGCAAGGAATGGTAGACAATGTGTTGACCTACCATACAAGAAGCGTGTGTGTGGAGGTGTTCTGTTGCTGTGACAGAATACCAGATAATAAGAAAGGAAGAAAGATTTTATTTCTTCCTTTAAATCCAGAGGTATCAATCCATGGTCAGCTGGCTCCATTGCTGTGGACCTGAGGGGAGGAAGAACATCATGGAGAATAGTAAGGGGGAGCAAAGCTGCTTCCCACATGGCAGCCAGGAACAGCAAGAAAGGGAGAGAGCCAGAGACAAAGGGGCCAGGGACAAGATACAGTCCCCAAGGCCATGCCCTCATAATGCACTCCCTTTTTAGGCATATCTCCCATTTTTATCAACCCCCAATAATGCCATCAAATTGTGATGGTTTTGCTATGAGGATTCTAACTTCTATTTTTTTTTTTTTTTTTGTCTTTTTCACTTTTATCGGTACCGGGGATCGAACTCACGACCGCCTGCTTGCAAGACAGGTGCTTATGCCACTGAGCTAAATCCCCAGCCCCGAGGATTCTAACTTCTCATCCGCTGAAGAAGTTAGAATCCTCATAATTCAATCATCTCTCAAAAGCCCATTAGCAACCAAGTTTTCAACACAAGGAAACTTTTGGGGATGTATCCAATCCAGACCATAAAAGGGAGAAGAAAGAATGGGAAGAAACTGACAAACCTCTCTCCTGATCACCAGTCCAGGCACTTCCATTACCCCCAGCATGTCAAAAGTTTCTCCATGTTCCCGTAATGTTTTGTTCATATAATCACTCATTTTTAACAAGAAAAAATGAAATAATTCTCACTGTGGGCCTATCATTGTATTCAGCATTGGGAATAAAGTATGAACATATGGGACAGTCAGGAACTTTGCTCTCAAGAAAGAAATGGTTGGAAATACTTATGCTTTGGCACCTTTCAATTTTTATTATAAACATACATATACATATCTGTATTGCACCTGCTTCTGCCATTTTTCTACACACACTCTGTTTTATTATACCCTTATTGACTTTTAATTTTTATCATATACCTTTTTATTTCCAGGTGCTAGCAAAATATCAGTCTTTTGCAGCAGATTACAAATATGGAAGGTGTCTCGGAGGTCATAATGTATTTGTCATGCATCACACAATACCTGGTATAATCTGTAGAAAATATGAGATAATAGCTATTCACTGAAAACTACTGTCTTTCAAAATGTGACTTGAGAAGTTTCATTTTTTATGTAATAGTTCCATGGAAGTGACACTTCACTATATTGAAACAAGATTTAATCAGATAATCTGTATTCCCAAAATAGAACTCAGGCAAATAGTTGTAGGTAAATGAATACATGGTTGCTATTTATTTTATTGTGAACAATCTTGCTTCCTTATCAGGTTTATGGCCTCATTGTGGACTCAAGGTATTAGAGAAGAGGGCTCAAGGATAATACATTAAATTTCAGTGTACACTATAAAAAAGTAACCGTAGAAATGTTTGTGGATTAAACTGTTATGAAGGCAAGGTAGTAAAAATCCAATCATTAAGTCTCACTCTGTAATATAATCAGAACATTAAATCAGATATGGTGTAGAAAATTAAAGTTAGCTTATTTGGGACTTTATGACAAAGAAACTCAAAAGAGTGATTTTTTTCTTTTCCCTGAGTGTAATGTATTTGAAATACTTGTAACTTAGCATTCCTTGCATTAGAGTACTAGGTAGTTTATGTTACTTATGTACATATTCAAAATATATTAGCTCATTTGCCTCAGTTTGGTTTGCACAAAGAAAACTTTCCAGTACCACTGATACCTGTTACAGAAATACAAAAGGTATTTGAAATACAAAGAAATTTAACTCGTATTTATAAAATATTAGGACTCATGCATAATCATTGTATGACTGGTTTTCTTTGCAGCACTTCCCTTTCTTATTTATTTTTATTTTATGACTTATCTGTGTCCTATTATGAGACTTAAGCTATGGCCATCTTGAACTCTGGGGCACTAAGTCAGGCCATGAGGACCTTTCTTTGTGGAACGATCCTCAGGGACTTATAAGTGAGGGCCCTTTGGGCCTGATGGTTGGATACTGAGCTATCCTATCTTAGAAATAAAATCTTTCTTCCTTTCTTATTATCTGGTATTCTGTCACAGCAACAGAACACCTCCACACACCCCCTTCTTGTATGGTAGGTCAACACATTGCCTACCATTCCTTGCTGCTAGGTATGCCAGAATACAAGGAAAAAGATGTCCTAGAAGAGAGTATAGATTCCCATTGCTGTGATTTGGATGTGGTTCATCCCATAAAAACTCATATTGAGATTGGTTCCCAAAGGAATACTGTTGAGAGGCTATGGGACCTTAAAAGCTAATTATATCAAGAGGTCTCCACTCTCACAAAGGGATTAATGTAGATCCCTGAGAGTGCATTAGTTATCTATCACAGGAGCAGGTTGTTATCAAATAGGCCTGGCATCTCCTCTCACTGTTTTGCACTCCTATTCCCTGTCTGCAATGCTCCCTTCCTCTTCCACTTCTCTGCCATGAGTTGACACAAAATGAGACTCTTACCTGAAGCCACATATGTGCAGGTGACATACTCCTGGGTTTCCCAGCCTCCAGAACCATAAACCAACATAAATCTCTTTTGTTAAGCAATTACCCAGCCTCAGGCGTTTTGTTTATAGCAGCAAAAAAATAAACCAAGTCACCTAAGAAGGCATCTTCTGAAGTAGGTGAACAGTACCTTATTGCTAAATAAGAGCTCCTGTGGAGGATCGCTTTGCATGTGATAAAGGCATCATTACTCAACTCTGCTCTGCTCTGTCCTTACAGGAGCAACTTAAAACGGGACTGCTAAGTTGATACTAAAACCACCCCTTTGGGAAAATCAAAATATGACTGTAGGTTCTTTAACATGGTACCATCAAAGACAGCCAAAAGAATTTATCATTGCTCCCAGAGAAGGAAAAACTCCCTTAATTTGAAAGCAGCAGATCAAAGTGGAGCATGGATTCCTGAAGGTTAGGTGTGTTCAGAGGAACAAATCTCAAGACTGTAGCAGTTCAGGGACAGCACCATTAGAAATGACATTCTGAGATTTAGAAGCCAAAAATAACAATAGCAACTGAGGAAGATTTGAGTCACCTAGGATACAAGGGGAAATGAGCAGTCAGGAAAGTTATCACCCTAGCCTTTGGTCATCCTTTGTAGTCTAGGCAGAGCAAGGTTATCATAATCAACTATCTGTGATAGACTATGTCAACATAATGTTTGCCAGATTGATCACTTAGCACTACATTCATGACTCCCCCAATCCCTTTTAGCTATATCAATATACTGCTTATTTAAACTATTATTTGTCACCTTATACAGTGGACCCTTGACTTTTAGACTCAATCCATTTGCAAGGACTGATTGTAACTTAAGTTGGTTGTAAGTCAAGATTATTTTTCCCATAAGAAATAATGGAAATACCCGTAATGCATTCCAAACCTCCCAAAGAACCCTTTTAATCTTTTCATGATTAAAAAAAAA